ATTTAGGTCGGAGCAGTCTTTAAATAAAACATGACAAAAATTGTCTGCCATTGAAATAACGGGGTGATCTTACTTTCCTATATAAATAGTCAAACATTTTTAATTGGTACCTATCTTTTACCAGGACTAATTTCCAAAATTTGCCTTTCTTTTACATGTATCATGTAAAAGATTTTTAACAAATTTTAACAATTTCAATGCGAAATTTAATGCGCCACATAGAACATTTTTTTTTATTTTTGAAACACCTTTTATTAGTCCCCTACCGGTGAAACCGGACGGGACTATAGGTTTCCTGTGAGTCTGTCCGTCCGTCTGTCTGTCTGGCTGTCCGTCCGTCCGTCCGTCTGTCTGTCTGTCCCTCTGTCTGCCTGTCAGTCTGTCCCACTTGGTTTTCCGCACTTTTTTCCTAAACGCTTGCAGATATAGAGCTGATTTTTGGTATGTGAGTGTATCTTGATGAGTTACAGATCAAGTTTGCATTTCGTTCCGCTTCATCGATTTTTGACGGAATTACGGGTTTTCCACAATTTTCTTCTAAACGGTTTTAGATATTGAGCTGATTTTTAAAATGTGACTTTACCTTGATTAGTTATAGATCAAATTTGCATTTCGTCCCGCTTCATTGGTTTTTGACGGAATTATGGCATTTTCAATTCTTATTGGGAACCAGATTACACTTGCCGGTAGGGGACTAGTATTGCTAATGCAATACTCTCAGAATGCTTGTTTAATAATCTGTTTTTTTGGGGGGGTGGGGGGTGGGGGATGGGGGTGGGGGTCATATATTCCCGAAGAATGATTCCCTGGTTAAAATCATCTACCTCATACTGCGTAAAACAACCTTTGCATGGGTCTTTATACATTTTGATACCTTTTAAATTTCCTGTTTACAGTCATAATGTTTACCTGCTTCCTTTCAAACAAGAAAGGATTATAACATAAATAGATATCCCGATTTTGTTTATGTACACGTGTACTACAAGTGATTTGGACATACTTGTATGAAATTATTAAAGACAACATTAAGCACATTTTTGGACTTCTAGAAGAGCCCTTAAAAATTAACTATTTCTCTTGATGACTGTACATGTTACACGTGTCAGATAATTATTTCCTATTTCTGTTTTAAGAAAGAAAGACTCGGGTAGATATAAATATACGTAATTGTAATATCTCGTGACATGTAAAATTTTCCTTCCTCAACAATATTTTGTCAGCGTAAAAGGTAAGAACAATTGTCAAAAGTGATGATTTGTTGTAAACTACATGAACATGATTTATTACATCGATTAAATTATTATATACATATATATATATATATATATCATGCATGTATGTTCTTATCGGTATTTTGACAAAATATTTTAGGCTTGTGACTTCATAAGTATATAAAAACAGCATTTAAAGGGTGTTAAATATCGGTGGTCGGCGCACAGCAATTTTTTTTTACTTTTACAAGTAGCATTGTCAATGAAGTTTTCTTTATTACCAGGCTATACGGAAATATAATGTCACAAAATTTACCTCCATAAATACTCTTTGACCTGGTGTACTCGTGTATAAAAATTCATTAATTTTACATCATGAATGACAAATATATGACTTTATATGCCAAAACACTTTTAATTAGATATTGTCAAAAATGGTGACGTTTTGCGATAATGTGGAGCACCAAATTATTAAGCAGTACTGTGTTGAGCAGAATATGACTCCTATCCATACAGTAAAAAAGATGTTAACGATGGAAAACAGAAATATAAGGTTTATCCCTAGTTGAAGAGGTTTGAGGATGGCTTGACGATATCCGATAGAAAAGGCGTTTTGTAGACCAACAAAATGAAGACAGACTAAAAGTCAGGAGCTGGACGTCATAGGCCTAAGTGAAGGCCGCCGTTAAACAATGCGAAGGTTTATTACCGGGATTGAGAAATTGTCTATACTTTACTTACTTATCCTCTTCGCCCCCTATGGGACATAAGGCTTCAACAAGCTGTCTCCATCTTCCTCTAGCCTTTGCCACGTACTGTGCCTGTCCCCACGAGTAGCCCATTTCCTCTAGCTCTGATGTTATAGTTCTTCTCCACGTTGTTCGTGGTCTACCTCCTTTCCTCTTTCCAGATGGTGTCCAATGTAGGGCTGTTTTAGGTATTCTACTCTGGGGCATTCTCATCACATGTCCCAGCAATCTCAATCTTCTTTGCTTGATTTCAGTTGTTATGTTCCTGCTTTTGCTTTTCTTGTGCAGATCTCTGTTAGAGATCTTGTTCGGCCAGAAGATACGGTGGATTTTTCGGAGACAGTTGTTGTGGAATACCTATATTTTTCTCATGTCGCTTTCAACAACACGCCAGCATTCAGACCCATACAGGAGAACTGATTTAACATTGCTGTTATAAAGTTGGAGTTTGGTTCTCAGACTGTAGTTGTTTGACTTCCAGATGGGCTGAGGTTTGGCAAATGCTGTTCGTGTTTTATTGAGCCGTGATTTTATGTCTTTCCAGTACCGTTGTCCTTACTTAGGATGCTGCCAAGGTAGGTAAAGTCCTCAACTTCCTCTAGTGGCTCTCCATTTAATGTGACAGGTTCTACTGGTGCATTGATTGTCATTACCTTGGTCTTCTTGGCATTGATGTTAAGCCCAGTTTGTTTGAGAAAGGAGTTTAATTTATCAGTCTTTTCTTGTAAGTGGGTGATGTTTCCTGATACTTCTGCCAGATCGTCTGCAAAGTCCAGGTCTTCTAGGTGACTGAACATTGTCCATTAAATACCCCTCTTTTTGTCATCTGTGGTGTTTCTTTGCATCCAATCAATGACCATAAGGAAGAGAATTGGTGATAATATGCATCCTTGCCTTACTCCAGATTTTACACTAAATGAGTCCGATATTCCATTTTCCAGGATGACACTACATTCGAAGTTTGAGTAAAATGTTTTCATGATATTGCAGATCTTTTCTAATATTCCATAAGATCTTACAATTTTCCAGAGTGTTTCTCTTTGCACACTGTCGAAAGCTTTCTTAAAATCAATAAAGTTGATGCACAGTGGCATTTGCCATTCTATACACTGTTCTATAATGTTACGAATGGTAAACATTTGGTCTATACACCCTCTTCCTCTTCTAAAACCAGCTTGTTCCTCTCTCAGTTTCTTTTCAATCACTTTGTCTATTCTGTACAGCAGTATTTTACAGAACACCTTGCTGGGGACTGAGAGCAGTGTTATGCCTCTCCAGTTGTCACAAATTTGGAGATCTCTCTTCTTTGGAGGGTTTACAATGAGTCCTTTACTCCAGTCATGTGGTATTGTTTCATTTTCCCAGATGTGTACGAATAGGTCTAATAGCGTTTTTGATGATGTTGTAATATCCGTTTTCAGCATTTCAGCATGTATGCAGTCATTACCTGGGGATTTACCATTCTTTAATGATTTAATACAGTTTTGGACTTCTTCCAGGGTCGGTGGTTCTAAGTTTATTTCTAAGTCTTCAACTGCGGGGTCTGGACTTGCTGGTTCATCGGGTTCTGGGCAATTTAGTATCTCCTGGAAATATTGTACCCAACGGTTGGCTTGTTCATGTTCTGTTGCCAGTGTGTGACCATCTTTATCTTTCAAAAGAGCAGATCGGGCTGTAGTGCGACCACATAGTTTTTTCGTTATTTTGAAAACGGTGCTCATTTCTCCATGTGAAGCTGCTCGTTCAGCTTCTTGTGCCAGACTGTCAACATACATTCGTCTATCCCTCCTAGCACTTCGCTTGACATCTTTATCCTTTTCTTTATAGGAAGCTTGTAGTTGTTCTTATAATCTTGCAGACTTGGTACCGATGATTTTCTGCTTTATGTTCTTTCTTTCACCTATTTTTTCCCCACGTACCAGGTGTTAGCCATTCTTTGTTCTTCTTGGTTCGGTAGCCTATAAAACTATTAAAAAAAGAAAAAAAAAGAAAACTATAAAAACTATATATCAAACAAAACAAAAAACAAAAAAAAACTATAGAAATTGTCTATGAAAAGAATTAATTCCGCAATCTTTTGGTAACACTAGTATTTGAGATGTATAACTTGGTAAATAAAAAAAATAAATACAGTGCCGAATTTATGCTTAAACGAATTTTATCAGATGCACATTTCCAGAACTTCACAAACGCCACGATTTACGTTTTGACGTCATCAGTGTTGCGCCGACAACTGATTTGTAGGATTCGTTTACCTGAGAGAAAAATTTTATTTATGGAGATATTTCATTGAAATTTTTAGGCATTATTCAAAAAATGTTGATTATGATGTATGCCAATTTTTAACTTTATAGTGTTAGTGAAACAAAAGATATTGAAAATGTTCGCGTATTTCTGGGACAACCCTCGTATTGACAATATTTGTAACGTGATTTCAACACTAACATCTTCTTGCCCTCTGACCTTCACAATATAACCGTAGGTCAAGGTCATGCCTTTAGGTCATGGACACACAACACTTTCATATGTACTAGTACCAGTTATTTACCATTACGCTTGAAATATCACTGTCTAAAGACCTTGACATGAGAGTTATGTTGACACAAAGGTCATGGACAACAACATACTGAAGCTTTAAATTATCACAATCAAGACTTCAATTCGAAAACATTTAACGTATTAATGAAATACATGTATACTGGACAACTCAGTACCTATAGACTTTTCGGGTACCACTTTGTTTCAAATGCTGTGCTGATATTCCGTCATACTTTACCTGATGATAGATTTATATGACCTTTTATAGGAAACACATGTTGTCCTTGAAAAAAATGTTTGTTTCAAAATGGTTATAAAGTATCAAGATCTAGGACTTTGCGACATATGTCTGTGTAAAGCGATTGAACATGAAAAGATCAAGTAGTAGAATTGCTAATAAAATGATAAATTCTTATATTGAATATTAATAATTCTTTGCAACAATTGCAAGTTTTATCTTATACTTGCTTTAACGAATTTATATGTCTTTTCTAGGTCAAGTATGGCGAACTATGACCTAAGTCAAAAGTATAAAGAAATTCTAAAACTAAAGGAAGATGTACGAGAAACCAATGCCAGAATTCAGAATTCTGTAGATAAGAAAGAATTTAGATTATGTAAAAAATGTGCAGAAACATATACAGAGGAATCAGAAAGACTAATTAAAGAACTGAAGAAAACAGAGAGATTCTGCAATGAACACGGATTCACAGAGGAATACGCATGCGCACACATTCATGGTAGCTTCAGTATTACTTGATTTGAAAAAAAAATGCTTCGGTATAGTGTGGGACAAAGTTCAGGGAATAATGGTTTTCGTGTTTTTTTTTTTTTAATTTATCAGTCTTCTTTATTGTTATATCTTGAAATTGAGATTAATTGAAAACATTGCGTTTTTAGCAGATGGTTCCAACATACTTCGGGCTATCAGCAGCAGAGGGCGTAAGTATTTTTTTAAGTGCGCATATATTAATTTCGTTGCTAATTAAACAAAAGGATTAAATCACAAAAATAAAATTCCATTATATATATTTAATATATAATATTATGCTTTTGTCAGGGAAAAACGGCGAACCATTTGTCTGCCAAGTATCGGATAGCGCCTACGTTAGCATGAATTCACAGGAATTAAGTCGAGGTTCGTTAAGGACGCTCTGAACACTAAGAAAAAGTGTTTTTGTTTTGTCTTTTTTTTTGTTTGGACTTGGAGAAAAATAAAAATATAAAGATGTGCATATTAAGACTATTTACCTTATTTTCAACATAGGGTACCTGTCTTATTTCCACAGGAAAAAAATGTTCAAATATAATGGACTATTCGTGAACAGAAATCACTGTTGTTTACTTACATTGAGAAAATTAATGGAAATAATGAATTCATTTTTTTTTATTCTTGTTCTAATATGATGCTAAGAATATTTTAATCTATTATAAACTGTAAATAGCCATTTTTCTATCTTACTTCTAAGGGCAGATCACTCTAACTGCATAAAACTACCCTACAAGTAGAACTCTTTAGTGTGCAGTGTTTAGAGCTGCCTGAATTGTTATCTTTAAACTTATTTCTGTTAAACTATTTAAAAATATACTGAGAATTTTTTTCAACTAGATTAATTTCCAACAGCGCTTAGATATCTATTTATATGTTGTAGACCGCGCTGGTATCCCGGAGAGTGGAGAGACAACTCATTAGAACAGTGTACTTCGGTCATGGAATGATGATCGGAATTGTGGAAAACTGCAGATAAAATGTCTTTTGAATATTAATTCTGGATAGTGCTAAAAAACTGTAGAATGCTTTATAATGAAGACCACTGTCTGGGTATCGTCGTAATAGAGATGCTGTGTCTTTTATCATGATTTTTTGGCACCAAAATGCATTGTTTACACTTGGAACGTAGATAATATCGGGTATTCCATTGACCACTTTGATTTGTAGCATTTAACTGAATCCCTTTTATAGCTCATACTAAACTTCACATTTCAATGGGTGCTGTTTTGCATGGACAAGTGGAGTTCGATTGTTAATCTTTTCATTTATTTTTGGAAACTAACTGAACCCATCTCACTAGAATGAATGAACATGTATGATACTACATATACATGTATGCTGGATTTAGGTGTATAATCGCATATTGCAATTATACAGGTTTGAACGTGATCATTGCATTGTATATATCTTGCAGACTTGTTATAAACAGATAAAATTTATTACATCTAAAAGTTTAGTGATGATGTTTTATGCTGACCCGAGAAAGGCTAAAAAGGGTGTATTTATGTGCAAAGTTAACTTTTGGCTCCTGATGTTTGCTATTTCCTATTGTTGGGGTCGTAACTTGAACAATGTTGAAAATGCGTCAAATATTTATGATGATAAAAGGATTTGCAATATTGCCTGACGCCACGTGCGTCAGGCAGTACAAGGATTAATTTTTCCAAGATCCGGAACTAAGCGATCATTCTTAATGAACTAGATTTTCTGGAAGCTGATTTACACTGGATTTTGTTACCTGCATTTAAACAAATACAGTTTGCAGAAGAAAGAATCATATTACTGATGCAAAATAATAATGTGTTTAATTCCTTCAAATTTTTTGCATGCACATATTTATTCTTTGCGATTTTTTGTACGGGCATGTCCGTGTAACATTTTTTCTGCGTTTCTAAACTACTGGATTAGTCCATTTGCCTTCCACAATCATTTCGCGCCAAATGTCACATGTAAATTATCTTCGCGCCTTTTTCTTGGATTGTTCTATTGAATGGGTGTGGTAACTTCTATGGAAATAAATAACGTTTATTCTTTTAACCTGATTCTTAAGCTTCAGATTTTTTATTAACAGTAAATTTTATCTCATTCTTAAAAGAACACATTGTATATGGGCAGGCAACACTAAAGCAATTTGCTGATTATTCTTACTATTTATCCCATAAGTGAACTTCTCCAATCATAAACAAACTCCCTCGACCTAGTAAATGGGACATCCCTTCTTGATTCAGTCTGTTTTCCACCTTTTCTCTCAATATTACATTTATTAATGATGTACGTTACAAGGTTAGGTTTTTTAAAAAGCTTAGAAAGTACAGCCAGTAGCTTATTATTTCATGCTTTGTGATGAACAAGGATAGTGAGTGAGTGACAAGAGTGTAGGTCAGTACCCATGGAGGAATGGGCTTAACTCCCGTAAGGTTCTAAGCAAAGAATCGGCAAAATGAAGAAGACATCATGATCTCTACTAGTTTTCATTTCATATAAAAGCACGTTATTATAATTATGAGAAAGGCCCTGAAATCGATTGAAAAGGAAAACTAAACAATTTTAAAACTGTACATAAAGATGTATTTTAAACTCATTTATAATACATGTACATTTATATGCTAAGACCATCAGCGCGTGAGTTTCGTCCGGTTGGGGGGGGGGGAGGGGGTGTTATTAGTATCTTGTTTTGCTCTAGCTATAATGTGTACAGTCCATTAACTTTGTATTCTAGAGCAGCATTGAAGCAGTTTTGTCTCAAACACTTCAAGACAAGGCAGTTAAAACTGTTCATAATTTACTTCGTCGTCGAGAACGACGGAAAACAGACCAGTCTATAAAAAGAGACCGTCTCATCAATCTGCATGTATCACTGACCAGAGAGTGTGCATGAAGAAGCGCGCCCTCTAGTAAGAGAGTACATGTAATATGAATTTCTTTAAAACGAATCATCGAACTGTTTTTCCAAAAAAGAGCCATAGCGCATTTGATAGGCATTTTCGCCTACTCTACTAGTGATTTCTTAAATTCATTGTTTAACCAAAATTTTGTCATACAATCTTAGTTTATACATGCGTAAAACCAAACCACACAATAATGATATTTCAATATTAATAGTTCCCTCATATGATAAATATAAAAATTATCCAGTTTGTATGGAGTATATAGTAAATATTGAGGTATCCACCTAAATATGACAAACTGTTGCCAAAGACCACCCTTAACCAGAAAAACAACTTTTGAATAATTTTATTTGGATATGACTGCACTTCATTACATTTAGATAATTCTGGTTAAAGGTGGTCTTCATATTGAAAATGATGAAAATATATAGGCCTATTCAATTTTTCTTCTCATATTATCGTAAGATTTAGCAATCTGTCTTAAATTTATCCATTCGACGTCATTGACTTCGTTGGCGCAGTGGTATGATTGCTGGAATGTAAATATGCTGATTGCGAGTTCGAGCCCCACATCTTTTCCATTTATGCTTTTTAAATGTTTTTTCTTTGTGTATCTTTTCTACGTTTTTCTTTATTACGTTTTATAAAATACACAATTTCAGAAAGTTACAATATACACATGACACTTTGAAAGTATCTCGGGAAAAGACAGTCCTAAACTATTTTACTAAAGTTTGCAAATTCATAGCTACTTGTTTTACTTTTATTGATTTTCTAAATCTTTTGTCTCAGAATTAGAGAATTGAACAAATTAAATGATTCTCATTTGACATACTTGCAACTATGAAAATATAACACTCGTCCTCAAATCATATTACATATAGTTTGATGGTATATCTATAAATAGAAACAGGTGATTTCCTTTTAAATTCTTTGAGTCGGTCGTGTTGTCGGAAAGGCAGCTATGGCTCTTATAATCTACTCTAGCGCACTTACAGTTTCATCCCAACGTAACTTGTCAGCCCGTGGGCTAACTAATAAATGATTAAATAGTGGCATGTCTTAGATATTCGTTAATCTGTAGTATTTGGTTATGAGATTTTCAAGAGAAAGTCAATTGTACATCTCGTGTAATGAATGCAACTATGTCGCTCCTTGCTGACGGACCTCTAGCACCTCTCTTGCTTATAAGTTCCATAGATATTGATTGGTTAGTCAAGCAAGCTTTTTGAAAAGCTATTACTTGTGATTGTAAAGTACTCTAGACGTGTTCTAGGCTTGTAGCTCCTATGAATTCACACAAATAAAATCTCAGATGAACACATATGAAATCTTAGATAACGCATATAGAACTTAAAGCAGATGAACACCTCCACCTCTGCTAAGAGAGATAACTCTACCATGCAGATTTGTTACATTTGCCACCAAAAAAGAAATGACCTCTTAGAGATCCCATATATTCCTTAACACTTAGTATCCATGTTACTGAGTTACTCCATGTTATGTTTGTAGCTATCACAGAGAGAAAACTGTCTTAATTTCATATACATATCTTTTTTTTCTTGCATTTGTTATTTAAGATCTTAGGAGGGGTCCACTTTTCCTGAGAAAGGGGGTGGGGTGCATGGGGCTAAGTAATTCAAGTTTGATTTGTAAGTTTAATAACACTGAAAATCGGGGGGGGGGGTTCTAACCCTCTTCTAGACTCCTCGCCCTTTTACATATTTTGGGTTTAACTTTGAAGACCTATGGAAGCCAATTTACTGTCCTTTCGACCCCTCGAAGATCGAAATGTTTATAACAATATTTAATTGCAGGGACTGTATCTTTGTAGTTCTATTACAGAAAAATTAATATTATTTGTATATTGTTCTATAAACCTGTTAACTTCTGTATGGAGAGTATCCACTAAGCTCTAGGGCTATTTGGAAAACAAATCTTCACTACTGATTCAGAACAATCTTTATGTTTCACAATTTTTCTGTGGAACCAAACTTCCTTTTCCATTTCTATTTCTTAAATAAGTGCCTATCCTTGAACAAAGGATGCTTTTTTTCATTTACACGGCTAGTGTATGTATATTTGCATAGGCTGTTCTACAGCTTAGAAATTTGTAAATAATTATAAAATCTTATTAGTATTGTAAGTTTCTCTCGATCCGAAAAGAGAGGGGTACAGAAACCTCATATATCTTGCTTGGTCAGAGTATGTTACTTTCTGGTAATGTGGTGATGAAATCTTTTATCAATTCATGTGAATAAAATTGTTACATTTAAAATTACTGTACTTGATCTACTCATCGAATTAAGAAGATAAATTTGCGAACTATACAGTTATATACATTTTAACAATTTCATAAAGTGACCAGAAAAAGGGGAGAACGCTGTCAATATTACAAATGATATATTAAACTTTATTTGAAATTGAAATGAGAATGTTCCATTGCATTAGGAACGTTTACTTATTGTGAATAAATTCAGAAATAAATAACAAATCATGAATATGCCTCACAATATTTCTATTTTTAACATTTATTTTTTGGGACATTTTCCTTTTGATTTTGATGGGCAATAGGTAACCTACAGTGTATTCTCTCTCGGTACAAAATCTGAAAAGTAATATACTCCCCTCCGTTTTTTTTTCTAAATTAATAGAACCTTCTCAGAGTTGTACATGTTTGGTAAAAATTTACCCCCCCCCCCTTAAAATAATATTGTATTGCAACTTGTAATAAACAACTAAATTTACATTACAAATGTAATGTATCTACATTTTTTATATAATGTATTCTAGTTTTCACGTTTTATGTTGCATTTTCAAAAAAACAACAACAAAAAACAAAAAACAAGGAATATTTTAAATCAAAATGGTATTCTTAGTCGTTATTTCTGTTCGTTTGATTTTAATGGTGCATGGAAAATTGGTCCAGATTTCTCTGAAATTATATATATGGTTATCAAACAATAGCCTGCATGATGTGTTGGGTTGATTAATATGTAGGAAAATTTGAAAGCACCTTCACAAATACAGACTTGCTAATATTGCTTATGCGTAAAAGATTTTAAACCCAGAAATTGATATAAATAAGAACCTAACAAGAGCAAAATAAAAATCTTTACATGCCAAGTCCAATTGAAAAAGCACGGAGGCCCATTTACATTTAGGACCTACCAAAAAATTTTTAATTCGATATAACAAACTGTCGAATTGTTAAAAAAAAATGTGATTCAATATACTGTAACTACTTTCTGAATTTGCGATGACGAGGTTAATTCTTTATAAGAAATTTGCTGAATTCATTATAGCGAATTTAAAAATATATATATTATATCGAATTAAATTCGTTTAATCGAATTCGACATTTATATAATTGCCCCTAAGAACTTGTCATTAAAGTTTAACTTCCTAAACAAGTTTCCTCACTAAAATTTGAGATGCCTTACCAGGCATTTGCGCAAGAAACCAGAGGGTGATATTTCTTCTATAATCCTTATGGGTACACTATCTTTTGAATTGCCAATGTCACAATTTTTGGTGTACTTATTTTTTTTTTTTTAAACATATTGAAAACAATTTAGAAATCACAAGAAAATGACAATTATGAATGATTTTTGATATAATACCAAGGTATACAAAATATATATTTGAGGAACGTGTCGTCTGACCTTAACCGTAATATAACAAATTTAAGAACTCGATTCAACGAATTAAATTCGGGAATTTGATCATGATATCGAATTCAAAACATTTTCGACAGATCCTAGATGGGCTTCCGTAAAAAATAATATACCCCGCCCGGAAGATTATTGTAGGAATGAAAAATTGTCCAGATTTAACGTTATATGAATAATTCAATTCACTTTATTGACAATTACCATGTCGGCATACAGTCATCAGTCATGTCATAAAACAAATTAACAAGAATAATACATACATATACAAAGTGACAAATGTGAGGTAAACAAAATAATGTAGAGTATATTCATATATTTCAAAGTATTCATTGCTGACTTTAATAATAATAAAATAATATTGCCGAAAGGAATGCCTGATTTTGAGCGGAATACATGAAAAATAAGAGATCATCTCTCTCTCTCTCTCTCTTTGCATAAGCTGATAAGAGGGAATGTGTATTCGAGTTAGTAGATCATATTCAATATTGTATAGATTCTAAACTTTTACTACAACAGAGACCGCATGATTGTTCTAAACAGAACGAAAGAGTTTCACAAAGGGAAATAATTCTTCTTGCCACGTTAGATAGCGCTGAGCGCATGACTGTCACAAAGCAACTTCCGGATCAGAAAATGGACTCGTCAAACAGCTAGGGACAACGAAAAAATTCTGTTCAGGAGGCTTATCTTGTTAAAATTTGAGATTCTTTTGTACAGATGTTGATTGGAGAATGTGATGAGAGAAAGAACAGCATACGAAACACAGTTTGCTTTGTAAAATGTTGAAATCGAAAGATATTTTATAATAGTGCGGAATATGGCGGATCAACATTCTCATTATAACAGCAGTCCAAATGGACCTCATAATTTTAATTCTTACGCACAACCAACACGCACTGGTCCCCCTGGTGAGTACATATTGAATATTCACCAACGAATAGATTGATTTGTTATCTCTTCACAAGTCAAGTGAAGAAAATGTTAACCCGGCGTATGTTGACATTATTTAAAATGACGTTTGGAAGAACACGTTGCGGGTGTTATGTCAGAGTGTCAAATATAGAACCAATATGTTTTCATTCATATACGGTAGATTTAACTTAGAGTCTCGAATACCAGCTGTACTAGAAGTTAGTTGTTTTCATCTTTTACAGCTGTAATGATTCAGCTTTTACTTATTGAAAGTGTTCAAAATTTTGAGATAAAATTTCATTTATGTCTTTTAAGGTGGAATGCAGAACAAAAACTTAGCAGGACAGATAATGAATAGACCTCCCATGAGTACCTCAGGCAATGTGTTACATACTATGCCTCCTGCGGGTTACAATGCTTCATTGAATGGACATGGCACTCCTCCTCTTAGTAAACCACCCATGCAGAGAATGCAGCCCCCAATGGGATTACCTTCAAACAGATTCCAACCTCCAATGATGAATGTGTCTGCCCCATCCCAGGCATTTATGAATGGCCCAGTAAATAGGCCTTCAAATCCAAATTCAATTCAGAAGCAGTCTCAGGCTCAAAATATGCCTGTATCTTCTATTTCATCATCTGGAAGTTTACCCACTGGGATTTCTTCAGCACCTGTTCCAGGAATGCCTTATTCAAGTTCTGCTTCTGCAGTGGACAGTTTCAATGCTGTCCAGACTTCATCTCATTCAAACAGTCCAGTTCCCCTAAATTTTTCTGCTCAACCGCCAGGCGGTTTACCAGATCAGAGAACAGATACACCACCAACAGGTTCAAATATTTGTTAATTTTTTTGTTGATGCAGTTGTAGTTTTGTTACTTAAGTATGCAATTTGCATGCAGTACAGAAAAGCATTGATTTTGTATATTTCTTTTTACAAATCATTAATTTAAAAGCTTTTTGCATGATTTGGTTTTTGTCAGCTTTACACTGTGTTCTGAAAAATCACATCAGCTTATTAGGCCACAATATTTACATTTGTAACTTTCCCTTGTATGTAAAATGTTTGTAATTTTCTAGAGGGAGGTTTGCCTGTACCTTTTCATGGACAAGGCCAATATTCTCACCAAGTGGGCATGTCACTAACTCCTGGATTAACTCCTAACAATTCAGGTATATCAGATTAGTTAACATTCAGGTGTTATTTAACTGCATTCATCTGCCATTTTAGTTTTGTATTTTGTTTTGCCTGTTATCCCTGTGCTATTTTCTGCAGCTATTTCGTATTTGTGATGTATAAAATGTTTCATCAGCAATTTTTAACACTGCCTTTTACCCAGTTATAGTATGTTGTACAAGACACCTTCTAAGTAGTACAGTTCTGATACCAAATTGGCAAAACATTCATTCTAGACATTGTCTTGAATTGTATGTATAATTTATAAAGTTCCAAATTTGCTGATAAAATTTGACTATTGAATGTAATATAACTACTTGAATAATTGGGATCTTCTAGACTTTTGATATCCAAAACTCCTAGATTTTTTAAAGACATGGAGAAGACACAGTATTCATGCATGTACTCTCATTTTCAAGTTTGTTGGTGCTCATTATGTGCATTCCTGTTTTTTGTGTTTGTTTGTTTGTGTTTTTTTTTTTTTTTTTTTTTTTGATGTTGCAATAAACAATTTAAATTGAGCCCAAACAAAAAAATATGTGTGGTTCCGGTTACACTTCCAAAAAAATCAGGGTAGGTAGGTAGGGATTTTTTTTTTTTTTTTTTTAACAAAATGATTTTCTTAATTTTTTCTAAATAATACCTATCACTGCTTTGCAAATGGCATTTGATGTGGTGTGATAATATACTAGTCAATATTGGTAGGGGACACCTACATGTACATGCTAGCTTGCTTTGGATTTAACACTATTAAACACTTGCACTATGTTTTGCAAGGAGGCCGTCATTGCTGAAACTAAAACTTAAACTGGAGCCATTGATGGAAATCGGGGGAAATTCCGGAAAAAATATGAAAATTGCCAAAAAAAAAGTTTAGGGTCGGGGGTATAAAATAGGGAAGGTCGGGTAACCGGAACCACACATATTTTTTTATTTGGCCTGACCATTTCGTATGTAATAATATTTTTTGAAAGCATGTAATGTGTTTTTAATTTATATGTTACCTAAAGTTATATAAACTACATGCATTTACAGAATTCTGCATATTATAGATGCTGTAAGGCTTTTAGTGAATAAATAACAGAAATTTTGATTTACTCCCTTCAATCTTAAGCTTGATCATTTCACCACAAATTGATGAAGAAAGTAATCTGAGTTTGCATGTTTCTTAGTTAATATTGATTGATAATTAATAATACTTTTTTGATATTGATTGACAGAACCAACATCCCGTAAATCATCCAGAGCCCCATCTCCATTGGAAACACAGTCTTATGAGGCATTAGAAGGAGGAGATTTATCCACTAAAACTGAAAGTAAGAAAGAATATCACTGAATAACTCCGTTACAAGCTTTGAAGTTTTATGTGACCAAGAGCAAAGATAAGAATACATAGGTTTTGTTAGTTTATTTTTGATGCAGCTTAAATTAATAATATAGAGATTTGTGATAAATTGAAATTGATATATGTGTTTTCTCAGTTTTAAGAAAATTTAAAGTTGTACATGTATGTAAGCATTGAATGTTTACAGTGTTTCCCTTTATTTCAAACGTAAAGGGTTAGAGATCAGTGGGTTGAGGTTTAGGAATAAAATCTTTGTGGACCTTACAACAATTATTTTTTAAATTTCTGATTTCTAAGAGGCATTTTTATGAAATGAAAGGGAATAATTTGGCCGGTAACTGGTTCTTAGGGAAAACAAGGGTTATATTTTGCACTAATTGTTGGATAAATCATACATGAATGCCAAAAAAATGTACCGATGCATATTATTCAATATGCTGAAAGTTGGATTTATGGAAGAAAGTGCTGAAAATGGTCATGCTATCTGATACTTATATTTGAGTATTAAGTGTTGTATAATCTTTTTAGAATCTATTTCCTTAACTGAGTTAGTTAACACATTTTATCACTGATGTCAAATTGCATTTCATTGACACACAAAATGTAAGAAGCTTAGGAAGCAAGAAACAGAAATGTTAATTTATTTTTATACATGTAATTTACACCTGAATGTGTTTAGAACTGAGGATTTTTTTCTGTGTTTTCCCTATAGAAGAGAGTTTCCCAGGATCAGGGGATGATAAACAGGATCAACAGATTCAAAGCCTTCCTGGTGTTAGTAATACATTCAGCCAAGGAAACAGAAATAGAGGGTCACCAGTCACTCAAGTTAATCCTTCAACTGCCATTGGAGGTCCACCTTCCACACACAGACCAAGTCCAGCAATGGGACAAGGTCCACCTAATCCTTACCAAAGCAAACCTGGACCTCAAGGTCCAATGATGGGACAACCGGGAATATCCCATATAGGAACTCCCCAGAGAACTCAAGGTCCAACGATGGGACAACCAGGAATATCCCATGCAGGAACTCCCCAGAGAACAGGGACGCCTACATCGTACAGTGGTCAGCAACCAAGACAACCTGGTCCACCTCAAACAGGATATGGACAACAAGGAATGGGGGTCCCAAGAAGTAATGTACCACCTACAGGTGTACAAAGACCCATTAGTGCACCAAGACCCCCTATGAGTGCTCAACCTAACCCATATGGATCCCCATCTTTGGGAGGCCCCACTCCAGCTGTGGGTGGTTATATGCCACCAACTTCATTTAGCGGCCAGCAACCTCAAGGGGTAATGGCACCATCATCAATGCAAGGATCATTTCCTCCCACATCTTATAGTGGTCAGCAGCCTCCAGTAGGTGGCCCCCCATCATCAGTAGCTGGAGGAATGTATAATAATCAAGGTCCTCCGTCAGGACCCACTGGTATTCCACCAATGAGAGCTCCGATGCCCCCAGTCCCAACAAGTGTACCCTCTCCTGGGATGCCACCAGTGTCGAGACCTGGGCCACCAACAGGTGGACCTCCCACGACAGGAGGTTTTCTTCATCAACCTGGAATGTCACCTGTAACTTCTGGTGCACCACCAACATCTTATGGTACAACTCAGCCACCTCCAACAGGATTTCCTCTTCAGATGCAACCAGGGCATATTGGCAGTACTCCCTCCCGACCTAAGTATCCACAAATGGTATGCCATTACTTAATAATTCTTTTGTTACTAAACTGGATTTTTTTGGATGTAGAATATTTTGTTGTTTGCTTGATCTAAAGTACATTTGTATGAAAAAATCGAAGATGTAGTTATATTTTTTGAATCCTGATGTTTGTATTGTATATGTGTTGGTCTTCACATTCGTAGCCTACTTCACCTCCAACAACTTGGCAACCACAGAGCCAAAACCCTCCACAATTTTCCCAGCCAGGTAGCTATCAGCCAAATGTACAACCTGGGGTCTACTCCCCGGGACAGCAGGGGTCAAACCAGCCAGGGGGAGGACAAGGTGGAATACCACCATCAGCCCCAGGGGGGTTCCCTACATCCTCCCAGCCAGGGAACCTTAGTGCCAGTTTTAGTTCTATGTCAGTACAGGTAGGGATTTTAAAGCTTTTTACATGCAAATGAAATAAAAGAAAATTTGTTAAATATTTTGAAATCAGGAAGTGATTACTTTAAAATCAAGACATTAACTGCTATTTTATCAGGACAGAGTAGTAAACTTATTGAACGAGAAAAACCTGCTTCCACCAGAGGGGCTAGAAGTGGTGAAACCAAGATTAAATAACGAGTACAAAAAGGTCAACTGTCAAGCAGAGTAAGTCACAATTTTTAATAATCATTATTTTATCAAAAATGTGTTGTTTGGTTTGTTTTTGTTTTTCTACCTGAAACTTAATTATAATCAAAGAAGAGATCATGTGATGTGAATGTGTTGGGAAAAATCTCTGTTTTATATCCACAGGTATATCTATGTATAGTTTGTTTGTTTCAGTGTTTTCCGATGTACATTAACTGCAATACCTCAGACTTCAAATTTACTGAACAAAGCGAGGCTGCCTTTAGGAATTCTGATTCACCCATTTAAAGATTTGTCAGTAAGTAAGATAAACATCACGGAAAATTCTCAGGTTTACATGCATTATAAGTGTATTTTTATGCTGATATAAAGAGCTTTATTACCAACTAAATCTTGGTTGCCCTCTACCCCTTCAGAATGAAGATGAGGTAATGATTTTGTTTATCGATGTACATGTAATACTCAGTTTGCTGAAATGCATGCTTTCCTTTTGGTGTATATTACTAGCAAAAAATCCAAAGCTGTTCTTAAAAATAGGAACAGTGGAATTTGGATTTTCCATTCTTTGTTGGGATATGGCTTATTGCTAGGATATTTTTTGTAACGATCTAATGGAAAGGTGTAGTTTTGAAATGCAACAAAAAGAAACATAGATTGTATTAGATAAAGATTTCCACATACAATATGATGAAAAAAACATATGTTCATATGTTGTAAAATTCTTTAGTCCTAGAGTTTAACACTATTATAATGATAAAAATATATTAATTGGGTGATATTGACCCCAAACTCATATGTCTGCCTGCTTTGTACTTTCACCTTATTAAACCTGTATCTCACAAGGAAATCTCATTGAATTTTAGAAAGAATAAACATTTTAAATTTAATTTGGTATTCTATTGTATTCTATTGCTGGATATTACAGTCCAATAAATTGAAAATTTTGTTCATTGTAGCAACTTCCTGTAATACAGTCCAGTGTGATAGTGCGTTGTCGATCCTGTAGAACGTATATCAACCCCTTCGTTTTCTTCGTGGATTCTCGGCGATGGAAATGTAACCTCTGCTACAGAGTGAATGAATGTGAGTAGTATCTCCTCTTATGAGCCATAAGTCTTCATCTACTAAAAAGAAATTAAAGTATTCTCTTCATTGGAGTAATCTTAGAGAAGAGTCAAAAGTAATTAATAATCTCTTGTAAGGAAAGAGATGGGTGGATCAATCAATATCACAATTTTTAAGAATTTAAATACTAGTATTGAATTGATCGTTTAAAACTGTTAATTATTTTTACATTAAATATTGAAGCTTAACAAGTTGTACAAAAATTAAACAAATACTGATGATTTTAACAACATTTAACACCTACATTAACAGTGAGTATGACATAGTCAATTGAGTCATGTGAGGTGTCCCATCTCCCCTTAAGGAAAAATACATTTGTTTTATCATACCTAACAAAATGATTTAAAAAAAAATCCTTGCATATTTTGTCATGTACTTGAATTTTAAAGATACCCTTTTCCCATAGTGAAAATTAATGAATTTCTGCTTGCTTACAGTGCCAGATGAATTTTCCTATGACCCAGTCAGTAAAACCTATGGTGAACCACAGAGAAGACCAGAAATCAAGTCATCTACTATAGAATTCATTGCACCCTCAGATTATATGGTAAATTCTTCTCCGATACACAGAAATGTTACATCAGATGCCAGTATTGACTGAGGGCATCTTGTATACATTATGTCAAACAACTTCTGAATTAAACTATGCTAGACTTCTTTTTTTCATTTATTTATATATTTTTGGGGAGGAGCACACAATACCGGTAATATGATACCTAATACAATATTAGCGACAAAATGCACAATTTAAACTATGAGATTTTTTCAGTGAAATTCATTTACTTTCAGTGTACACTCCTATTGAGAGTAACTGATAAATGATATGCCACATAATATGTCTGATATTTTCCCTAATTTCTCTGATTTGATTTGTTTTATAAATATTTACACAGTACCTCTCTCTTTCAGCTGCGCCCCCCTCAGCCAGCACTCTATCTATTTCTACTGGATGTCTCCTTTAATGCTGTAGAAACTGGTATGCTTATGTATGCTATAAATGACTGCAAAAATATGACTGTAAATTAGGAAATCAATATAAGGTAGGTCTCCGGGGTAATATTTTTCAAAATTTGGATGTTTTCATTTTACAGGGTATTTAAGCATTTTCTGCCAACTGTTGCTGGAAGAAATTGACAAGTTACCAAGAGATTCTAGGACCCAGATTGGATTTATTGCGTATGATAGGGCATTACACTTTTTTAACCTCGCAGAGGGACTATCCCAGCCACAGATGTTAACGGTGTCAGATATTGATGGTATGTCTTTACATGATATGTTTGTTTGTGTGTGAACATAAAAAAAATTAGTTATTGTAATTTTATTTTTTGGTAATTATGCAGTCATAAAATATGTGGAACAATTGAAAGTTTTAAAAAGATTATAATTAGTGCAGATAATGAAATTTAAGTAAATGTATACTTATATTCATTGATTTATTTTGTAGACATTTTCCTGCCGTGTCCTGATAATCTTCTAGTCAATTTAAATGAGTGCAAGGACCTGGTACTGGATTTACTGAATATGATGCCTTCTCTCTTTGAAGGAAATCTAGAGACAGGAAGTGCTCTAGGTGCAGCACTCCAGGCTGCTCACAAACTAGTGGTAATCATTCAGTAGTGTTAAAATATTTTGATGCCATTTGAAGTCTTACGCTGAATATGATGTATGGATCACTCTGGAAATATTATTAGGCATACTAATTTAAAGATTTTTTTCTCTCAGTAAACATGTTATCCTATTTACTATCTCATGGATATGTTGCTATCACTTTATTTAATTGCCTTTTGTAGAGCCCTGTTGGAGGTCGAGTTACTGTCATGCAGACAGTGCTGCCCACAGCTGGACCAGGGTCTCTACAGTCCAGAGAGGACCCCAGCCTGAGATCTGGCAAGGTAAGCCTGACACCTCCTAGTACAGTCTAGCTGGTAGAAATTCTGTAGGACTTCAATTTTACAATGCTGATACATCATGCAATGTTGTCAATGCTGAGGAGTGTTTTGTTTAAAATATTTCATGTCATAAATTTTTGATATGCTGTATGTTATATTATATGAACCCTAAAATTTCAGAATGTAACGAATCTTGGTCCAGCAACAGATTTTTACAAGAAACTGGCTCTGGATTGCTCGGCTCAACAAGTAGCAGTAGATTTGTTTATGTTAAATGGACAGTACGCTGATATAGCATCAATATGTAAGTAAATGAAAGGCTTTCATCCATAAACATTGCAAACATCTTGTGTAAAACCGCCTGATCTACGATTTTTATCTATATTTGATCATTAATGACAGTATTGATACAATGACATATAATGTAGTGCACATGCTCACTTTTTCCTCCCATTTGAAGATTGCTCAGTCTAGTGTTTCTTGATATTTAAATCTTATATGAGAAATGGGGCCATTAAAATAATGATTTACATGTAACTTATGGTACATGCATTAACATTCATTCTTCTTTTATTTTTTTTCAGCTTGTATATCTAAGTATTCAGGTGGGTGTGTCTATCAGTACCCATCATTCCATGCTGTGAAAAATCCATCATTAACAGAGAAGTTTGAAGCAGACCTGAGGCGTTATCTGACAAGGAAGATTGGATTTGAAGCTGTAATGAGAATTAGATGTACCAAAGGTACAATTTTGCAACTAATTAATCATATTGAAAAAATATATTCTCAGATTTTCTATGATATATGTAGTGAGATATATCCACAACAATCATATTCTGTATCCAATACCAGAGTTTATAAGTCATGTGACTTGTATATATGGATTACAGGTTTAAGTATCCACACGTTCCATGGCAACTTCTTTGTTCGTTCCACTGACTTGCTCTCGTTACCCAATGTTAATCCTGATGCTGGCTTTGGAATGCAAATGTCTATAGAAGATTCTTTAGTTGATACAAATACAGTGTGTTTCCAAGCAGCTTTGCTCTACACATCAAGCAAAGGTAAACATCTTAGTTTATTGAATATTTGAAATTACAAGTATGTTTTGGGACACATTATAAGGGACAGTCCATACTTGGTTAAGGTAATATTGATCAATGTAAGCTAGATTATCTGCATTTAGTAATTTACTCTGTAGAGATGAAAGTCTCTTATTTATCCATGCTATGGATGCATTGATATTTAAATGTCTCTTTTTTAATGTTTGTGAAAAAATATATACAGTGTGATATCCCTTCTCTGTAGGGGAGCGTAGAATACGAGTCCACACACTTTGTTTACCAGTGACAAATCAGCTGTCTGAAATCTACGCCGGGGCTGATCAGCAGGCTATAGTAGGACTTCTGGCCAAAATGGGTAAGAACTAAGCAATGAACTTAGCTCACCTGAGCTGAAGGCTCAAATGAGCTTTTCTGATCACATTTTGTCTGGTGTCCATCTGTTAACTTTTTCATATTTCCAACTTCTTCTCAAGAACCACTGGGCCACAAAAGATGAAACTTATGTGGAAGCATCCTCAGGTAGTTTAGATTCAAGAAAGTTTGTTTAAATCATGATCTCCCCCCATTTCTCCCAGATGTAGGTTGGGGCCAAAATGGGTGATCAAAGTTTTATATTTCCTATGTAAAACTTTGATTGCCCATTGTGGCCCCACCCTCCTCCAGGGGGACATGATATGAATAAACTTGAATCTACATTATATTGAGAATGGTTCCATATCACTGTGACTAATCATGCTAGCAAAGGTCATGTGGATGTGCTGGGATGGGGCCACAGAAGAGGATCAACATTTACTTGGAAGTATATAGGAAGAAACCTTTTAAAATCTTCTCAAGAACAGGAGGGCTATGATTGATCATTTTAATAAGGAAGCATCTTCAATTACTGCAGATTCAAGTTTGTGCAAATCATGGCCCCCAGGATTAGGATGGGGCCACAATAGGTGATCAGTTTTACATAGGAATATAGAAGAAAAATCTAAGAACTTTTTCAAGAACAGCAAAGCCATGATTAATCAAATTTTTATGGAAGCATCTACCGCTAGTGTAGATTCAAGTTTGTTCAAATCATGACCCCCTGGAAATAGGGAGAAATATATTTGTACTATTCTGGTGGTGCAAGACTTTATGCCGTAAATCAAGTGAAAACAAAACTGTTGGGGGATATATGTATACTAACATGGAGTGATGCAGGACCTCCAGTCCTAGTGGTTTGTTGCAAAGTACAGTATTGCGCAAGCTCTCGAGTAATATGTGTTAGTATTAGTTTCTAAATATGTTTGTAAAACATTCCTTGTTTATACATTTGAATGTTATATACATGTGCATGTACATTTTGACAGCTGTGGACAGAAGTGTGACCTCTTCATTAACTGATGCCAGGGAAGCCCTGATCAATGCTGCCATGGACTCTCTAGCATCCTTTGGAAGCACAATTCCTCCAGCTCAGAGAATAGGAAGCCTACCCATCTGTTACTCCCTCAGAATGTTACCAACATTTATTTTGGCTCTTCTAAAATCAGTAAGTTTTTAACTTCAATTCTTTCAAAGTAGAAGTACATGTGCAAGTATATAATTGCACATTATTTCATTTTTTTTTGGCAGGAATCTTTTTTCATACAACATAAACTATAGATGTAATGTATATACTTTACTTTTAGCTGACCTGAGTGAAAGACTCAGGTGAGCTTTTCTGATCAAAATTTGACTGTTGTCCATTCTTTTCAAGGGGCCAGAAAAGATGAAACTTGGGTGATAGTTTTATTTCATAGTGTACAATTAATTTTTTTCAAATCATGACTTCAAGGGGTAGGATGGGGTCACAAGAGATGATCGATATTTTACATAGGAATATATAGGGAATTTTAAAATTATCTCCAAGAATAGCAATGTCATCAAAGTAGTCTTATTAATAAAGAAGAATCATAAGGTGATGTAGATCCAAGTTCAGATCATAACACCCCGGATAGGGCAGGGCCAGGGAAAAAAAAATCTCCACAACTACGTTGATGGCATTGATATTAAAACTTCCAATGCTGTGTGGACTCGACTTCGATTAAATCATAGCTCACTTAGGGTTTGAGGTTGGTCCATGATATGGAGTCAAAACCTTTGTGATATTAAAGAGGGAAATATAAAAAACAAAATCCACTGATGAAGAACAGCTGGGTCAAAGTGACTCAGCAAGGTGAGTGTTGTGGCTCATGGGCCTCTTTTTATCTACAAATATGAAATTTTGCAGAAAGCTTTCCGTGTAGGCCTGAACACGCCCTTAGATGAACGCGTGTTTGCCATGCAGCAGTGCAAAAGTCTGCCAGTAGGACAGCTTCTGAAGACACTGTCTCCAGATTTATATCCAGTCCACAGCATCGAAAAATATGTAAGCTTATAGAACTGTACACAATACCTGTATAAATATAGCCTCTTCTTTTCCCAATGGTCTTCAGGTTTAGATAGTTTGGGGACAAATACCAAAAGCTTTATATGTGGTTTTGAAGAATTACATACATACCAGATCAAGGAATACATTGTATTTATCAAGTCCTTTTCTTCTCTTTGCTACTTTTAGAATACAGAAAAGAAAGGGGATATACTTGTGCCAAAGCCGCCATTACTTCACTTGTCATCTGCTAACATTGACCGTACAGGAGTTTATGTGATGGACACACTGGACACTATTTACTTGTATGTTGGCAGTGCTGCACCACAAATATTTATACAGGAGGTGTTGGATGCACCCAACTTTATGTCCATTCCTGAAGGCTTGGTAAGCAGTATATACTCACAAGTGTGATCAAAACTTTCAGTAATAAAAGTACCAAGTTGCTAGTTAGATGTTCAGATGAATTAAAAGCAGTTTTGTATGAATACTCAAGTAAATCTCTTTCAATTGACAGATTGACCTACCAGAACTTGACAATGAGAGATCAGAGCTAATGAGAAATTTCATCACTGACTTATTAGACAACAGACCAGGAGGATCTTGTTTCTATGTCATCAGGTAAACAAATTTTATTAAGGGATTCCTACAATACAGGAACATTTTTTCTCCAGCATTTATCCTAATTTTCTTGAATGCTTATGCCTACTGATACTTGCTGATAAAAAATGCTATGCATGCCGATATGCATATCCTCAATCAGCTGATTTATTTGAGTCAATGCTATTGAAGAGGCACTTATGCTAGAATTGAATTTTTAGCATTACAATTTGAGCATTTTAACTCTGGCATTGTACATGTAAATTGAAAGTAGTTTTCTGCATTATTGTATTAAAACAGAATTCCCTGTATCTGAAACAACTGATATCTCTAAAACAGCAAATATTGATATAAATGCTTGTAACGCAAGCTACTAGTATGCTGGTTGTTTATGATTTATGATTTTATTACTAGCTCAAATATTCTGATGCTGGTAATTTTTTTTTGTACCAAATGATGTTAGATATTGGCCCCTGCACTGGATCAGCCATCAGAAGTCTTCATAGATAGTTTTACTATATATTCAACACTACCTAAGCCCAATGATTTATCAGATTTTGGTTTACATTCACTATTACTGGATCTGACAGCTCTCAGGATCAAATTAAAGTTGCTGTACATTGGCAAATAATCACGATGGTTTTAATTTCACTAATTTCGCGATTCTTCATTTTTCTGCGAAATTAAACCCATAGTGAATGCTATCACTAGTTTTTAAAAACATTTAAATGCTTATACGAAATTTAAACCATCGCATTTGGTACTTTTTGAGAAATCGTGAAATTTTAACACCATGGAATTGAAATGACTTACAGTATTTATTTTGTATTAATTTTCAGAGATGATGGTAAGAGACGAATGGAGTTCTTTGAGCGGATGGTGGAGGACAGATCAGAATCCTCCATGTCTCTGTACGAGTTCCTACAGCATTTACAGAAGCAAATCAAGAGTTGATGTTTGTCTAGAGGGGACCTTCAGCCAAAATGTGTTGTGTTGATGTGATACAATTTTATACAAGGAGTAAAAAATAGGGATGTATATTTGACTGCTTACTTACTGTGTCAAAGGTCATGTAGTGTACAACTACCAAGTAGTCAAACTGTGATGGTATAAACAGATAGGTGTATTTCTGGACATTATAAAAATATCAACGTATGTTTCTACATGTGTAATCATGTACTTATATATTTGAGCTTTCAAAGCATGTGCTGGATTGAAAAATTAGAAACGTAACAATTTTTGTTGATGTGATTTTTGTCTTTCAACAAATACACATTTTATGTAGTTTAGTTGTCATCTATTAAGGTTGAGTGTATGAATGAGGGAGAAAAGGTTGTTCCAACTACAATATGATTGATAGAGAAGTCTGTCTTCTTAAATTATAGAAACCAAGTGCTTCTTGAACCCTCAAGTCTTCTGAGTTAAAGGGCACTTGCTATTCATACTACTGCTCTCTACTGTGCATAGAAACATGATGTTACAAATTATGTATGTTGCTACTATATTTATTAAATTTATAAAAATTATGATTTTTTAGATATCCGAGTGAGAGAAATTAATGTATGTATTCATGACATAATTTATCTTGTGTGTATTGTACACCTGTATTTTGAAGTTTAGACTATTCACATTTAAAACTTGCTTTGTGCAATTACAGATAGACAACTATACATTCAATTTTTTTTTAATTTGTTTAAAAAAATCTTCAGTATAACAAATTCTGCAGAATTTAAAAAAAATTGATTTTAAAACATGACTTGTTGGATTTACAAAGTGCAGAATGAGTGCAATTGCATTAAAGCTTTGTTAGGTAGCTTTGTTCTACTGATACATGGTTGGTCTTCTGCATGAGCCACATTGTGTTTGCAAGATTATTGAATGGTGTACGTCTCTGGTGCTTTTTCATGTGTATTGAATACCCTTCATTGTTGATATTCCATTTGCTTTTATGATTGGTGGAGATCTCTTAATGTAAATATTCAAGTTTACTGTATTTGACAAATGCAATCTGTGTCATGTAATTTTTTAGGGAAGAATAAATCTAATATAAAAGCCCAAAATAATAAAATAGTTCAAAAGTTTGCAGTTGTTGATTTATTTTGTAATGCAGTACCAACATACATAATAGTTAAATGATTCCTCATCTCTCTGGTTCAGTCTTGGACTCCAAGGTGACAATGATCTGTTGCTTGTACTGGACAGGAACCACTTTTAGAAACTGTAATAGTAAAGAAAGATAGCTAATTTTATTCAGTTGTGGAAGAGGTGAGCAAGGTATCTAAAGTTCCAGGATGTGTGGTTTTTTTTATCAATACAAATGTGAATGCAATAACTTGAGTGGTTTTAGGAGACCCCCTTTCATTTTGGTGTCGCTTGTCTAAAGATCATGATTATTAACGAGCCTACAGTGCTAAATTTACATGACAGGTATTAAACATCATTCAGTTTAAGGTCAGGTTAAATTATTTTCTACATTAATTTTTGGAACAAACACTAGCAAATATTTGAACCTACAAATGCCAAATTAACTCATTGCTTTTGTTGTTTGTTTAACATCCCTTTGAGATTTTTGACTCGTATTGAGATTTCACTACTTGCTGGTGGATGGTGGTCTCATCCAAAGGACCAGTCTCTGTGTCACATACTGGATTTGAAGCCTCCAGATTAACTCGTAACTCCATGACTCTAGAACAAATGCTCTAACCACTGTGCCACAACTACATGTACATTGATAACGTAATTCAAAGGCCGCTTTATCAAAATATGATCATAATTAACTATAAAATAATTAGATATGGAAGTTAGAGAGCAACAAAAGAGATCAGAGGCAAAAAGGCCCATATGTCATAGTTGAAATGACCCTTATACAATTATGTGACAAGGTTTTCATAAATCTGAACTATGTTTGACAATAGATCTGTAGAGATTTTGATATTGTTCAGTCAAGGTTTTAAAACATTTTTCCCACTTTTTTTTTTCAAAAAACCCACAAAAACTCAAGTATACTACAATCTACAAATACATTTTCCACACAGAAAAAAAAATGTTCGAAAGATTATGAAGTCTTTTGGTGAAAGGTCAAGGATTTTTAATACAACTACACAGCATGCTCTTGTGTGACTGTTTTCTACCCATCCCATTTATTATTTTAAAGAGTGCCACACACAGAAAATATGTATGCAATTAAAATTATGTGAGGCCCATGGGCTACAATGCTCATCTGAGTCACTATTGCCTTGCTCAAGTTGCTGTTCTACATCAGATTTTTTACTATATATTCCTATGTAAAACTTTTATCTCTATTGTGGCCCTACCTTATTCCCCGGGGGTCATAATTTGAACTAACTTAAAATTTGATCGACTATTTTGGCCCCACCCTATCCCCAGGGTCATGATTTAAAAAACTTGTAATGAAGCTTCCACGTTTCAACTTTTACTGGTCCAGAGGTTCTTGAGAAGATTTTTATGTATTTCTATGTAAAACTGATTGCCTATTGTGGTCCCACCCTACCCTCAAGGGTCATGATTTGAAAAAAAAACTTGAATCTACACTATGTAATGAAGCTTTCACATAAATTTTAACTTCTCTGGCTCAGAGGTTCTTGAGAAGATTTTTAAAAGCCATTGAATTTTCACCAATTCTTAATTATCTCCACTTGAAAGAGAGCATGGTCCTTCACTTGAACAATTTTAAATTCCCTTCACCCAAGGATGCTTTGTGGCAAATTTGGTTGAAATTGGCCCGTTTGTTCTGGAAAAGTAGATGAAAATGTGAAAAGTTTACGATGACAGACAATGGGCAAATTTTGATCAGAAAAGCTAACTTGAGCTTCAGTTCAGGTGAGCTAATAATAAAACATGCAGTGATTATTCTTGCAGTAGGCATGACTTGCAGTTCATAACTTTGTTGACCTGAAGTAAACATTTTACAGCCTTTACATGTATACCTTTTCAATGAGATCTAAACATTGATTCTTCAGAGGTTCTACAAGTGAATTTGCTTTCTGCTCTCTCAGGAACTGAGCAACAATCTCTATCACCTCAAATGATTCCATCACTATCCTGTTTCCAAGTTTTTCACACAAAATCTGCAATCATAATATATTTTTACTTACTGAAAACAACATATTCTCTTGCAAAGATGTGGTTCACTATAAAACAGTATAAAAAAAAATCAAAGTATTTGCTAAATGCAAAACATTTACATGTTAAAAAAAAATTGTTCTTTCTCTTTTCGACTCACAAAATGTAACATGTCAAAGGTTGTCGCTATTGCTACTGTGTCATCATCTGTCATCTGGACCATGACCTCCAACATGGCAGTGTTCCATGGATGAGTGAGCAGTTCCTCATCTTGACAAGTGAAATACAACTTAATGAAAAGGTTAAATTGTATGCAATAATGCTTTGAAGTTTTCATCAAAACCTGGTAATTAGAATACCAATATGGTGACCTATTACCTAATATGGTCTGTACTTACACAACAGAAGATCAACACTGGAAAGATAAGTCACTAATGCCTGTAGACAGTGAAGGGCAATCTGTCTAGTCTTCAAACATTCCTTTAAAAATTATACATATAATGAATAATCTGATTCATATGAATAAATGTGATAAATGGCAATACTGCAATACATATATGTGATGTACCTGTACCATAAACTGCTGAAGGTAACAAAATAGACATGTGATATCAGATGATATCAGAGGACACCTGCAATCTGGGGGGTATCTTCCTTCATTTGAAAATTCGATGATGTTATTAATAAACTTATGCTGGAAAGAAGTGGCCAGAAACTGGAGGAAGCACTGTTGCATGGTGGTAGAGCTGGTCTTCAGCCTTTTTTCCAGGGGATACAGTGGAACTTTTATCTTCACAACTGATTGTGATGATGTCTTCAAAGAAAAAAGTTTAAAGTGCATGACATGTATGTTTATATAAGTGATAAAGAAAATGAAAAAAAAAATAATGATATCAAAATCAAACATTTTTAAAAATCATTTTATAATTCGATCAAACATATATACCTGTAAATTTTGAGCAGAAAATTCCATAATGTAGGAGAGGATACAGTGAGTCAACCCAGACAAACTTTCATTCTCTGATACTATCAATCCCTCCAATGTCTTTAACAGCATTATATTTTGCATTATCATGGGCAAGACTAAAGAAGATAGTTAGATTGTAATTATGCCAATCAGCCACAAAAGATAGCAAATATTTCCATTTTTATATTTTACCTTTAAGCCAAGCTAAATTATCAAATTAATGAACTGCTTTTACCACTACTATGAAGGGAATCTGATGCCTCAATGTACTGGATAACTAGTCTCAAAATCATCTCTGTCAACTCTGAACACTTCTCTTCTGAAGACTCACACAGCCATTTAGACACTGCAATAACAACATCTCTTATTTTTAAACATAAAGAAGAGAACTATGAAAATTTAATTTAAAAAACTCCTAGAAATATGTCCATAGGAAATGAATGCTCCACCCAAGGTTCATTTGTATTGCAACAGTAACAAGATGTGTTTGTGAAACACTGATGCCCCCATATGGCAGCTCATGCCAAAAGTTAAAGGTTTCTTAATTGCAAGTGAAACTCCAAGGTCAAGAGATCAAAAATGTTGGTTCCCAAAGAAAGGTCTTGTCACAAGTATTATACCCGTGAAATTTGAAAGCCTGTTCAAAAGTTATGGCCAAGGTTAAAGTTTTATACCCGTGAAATTTGAAAGCCTGTTCAAAAGTTATGGCCAAGGTTAAAGTTTTTTAAAGTAGGTCAAAGTCCAAGGTCAAGGTGAGAATGTCAGAAATATTTGTACCAAAGTAAAGGTCTTTATCACTAGGAATACACATGTGAAGTATGAACTCTTCAAAAGTTATTGCCAAGGTTAAAGTTTGGTAAAATTTGTCAAAAGTGGGTCAAACTGCAAGATCAAGAGGTCAAACATGTTGGTACCAAGAGAAAGGTCTTGTCACAAGAATTACACATGTGAAATATGAAAGCCATAGCTCCAACCAATCAAAAGTTATGGGCAAGGTTAAAGTTTGTGCAGACAGACAGACGGCCAGTGCAAAAACTATATACACAGGAATCTTCGATTACAGGGGCATAAAAAGAAATGTACCTTCCTTCTATGGTCTGAGATTGATTCATCCCGCCTAATTTATATAACAGCTAAATAAAGTCTAATTGTTTCAAGTTCATTATATCATATTTTGCAAATTTAAATATTTCTCAAGTATGTATGATAAAAATGTTCTAACAAAGACATGCCATTGTATGGAGTTTTCTTAAGTAATCCTTAATAGACTTAAATATAAATGATGTAAGAGCAAAATAAGGAAAAAATGTGAAATAGGGAAGGTCAAGGTCAAAGAATTTTTGACACACTTTAAATGCTCTCACCAATTTGTATCAATTTACAAGTTGAAAGTTTGATGAAAAATATCTTAAACACTTTTATTAAACTTAGGTAACTGCAAAATGAAGGAAACATGAGGTCAAAATCATTAGGAAAGGTCAAGGTAAGAAATAATGACAGTTGAATTGCATTCACCAAATAAGTATCTTAGAATGTGAGGTTTGATTAAAAAATCCCCAAAAGTGAAAGTCAAATGAAATTACAATTGTAGTTGAAGAGCTCTCGTCAATTTGTATTAATGTATGAAGTTTGATGAAAATAATAGAAACAGTTTCTTCTCAATTGTGCTGATTGCAAATCAATAAATAGTGAGATCAAGGTCATATGGAAGGTCAAAGACATTTTTTTGACATGCTCAAGCAATTTGTATCTTTGTAAAAAGTTTGATGGAATATCTTGAACAGTTTCTTTGAAACTACAATAAATGCAAAATGAAGAAGTCTGGTCAAGATCATAGTAAGGTCAAAGTCAAAAATTTTTGACACTGACACAGTTGAATTACTCTCTTTGTATGAAGCTTGATAAAAAATATCTTGAACTGTTTCTTTTTAACTATGATAAATGCAAAATGACAAAAAGTGGGTTCAAGGTCATAGGTTAGGGCAAGGTCAAAAAAATATGATACAGTTGAATAATCCTCACTAATATGTATCAGTGTATGAAATTTGATGAATATATGACCAGTTCCCTTTAAACTGTGCTAAAAGCAAAGTAAGTATTAGTGAGGTAAAGGTCAAAGTGAAGGTTTAAGTCAAAAAATTATGAACAGTTGGATAGCTCAAACAAAAATGTTTCAGTGTATGAGTTTTAATAAAAATATCTAGAATGGTTACTTTAAAACTGAACTAAACACAAAATTGTGATTAGAAACCTGGAGTTCACAGGGAAGGCCAAGGTCAGAAAATTATGCTGAAATTAAATAGCCCTCATCAATATCTATCACTGTATGAATTTTGATAAAAGTATCTTGAATAGTTACTTTAAAACTGAGCTAAATACAAAACAAGAGGTGCAAGGGTTTTAACAGTCAACTGAGTTTAATACAACACTGTAAAGGATCCATAGAAGTATAAAATAAAACAAACAGATAGATGAAGCTATGTTGCCCAAAAGCAAGAGAAGTAGGATGATTATTGAGTCTAGTACTCAGTAACAAATCTTAATGTAGATCTATTTACTTGCCTGTACTTACCCCATTTGTCACTATCAAAATAATAGTGCTTGAGCATATTAGTAAACACATTTCATTCCCTCTAACATTATCCTCTCTTGGTCTTTGAAGAACATTTATTGTACAAAAATAAGGTATTTTTGTCTCATTTTTATTTATCCATTATTTACAAGTCTACCTGCCCATTAAAAACTATGAAAGTACTTACTAACTATGCACTTAGTTTATCTGCTAAATACCCAGGAGCAGAGAAAATTTCAAAGAATTAATGCACTTTCACTATATAATCAATAGAGCCCTGCCCTAACACCCAAGCCCCCAACCTAGGGGCAATTCACAATTCTAAAAGAGGCACCTTTGCTCATCATAACTATTTCACTTAGTTTGTTTGCTAAATACCCAGGGACAAAGAAAGATTTTCAAAGAATTAATGTATTTTCACTATAATTATATTCAATATAGCCTCATCCTAACACCAAATCTCCTGACCCTGGGACTATAAATTTCATAATTTTGAAAGATGCACCCTTGCTCATGCTAAATACACAGGGAGAGAGAGAGGGAGGTTCTTAAAGAATTTATGCATTTTCGAGGTATGTTCATTATAGCCCTGCCCTAACTCCAGAACTCCTGACCCTAGGGCAATGAATTTCAAATTTTGGTAGAGGATTCAATTTTAATTACAATCATTCCAAAAGTCTGACTGCTCGATGTCGAAGAGTTAAGAAAAAAGATTTTTAAAGATAGTACTAACTTTGATGGTTTTACCCCTTAGGCTCCAGGGGACAGGGACCATGAAAATCAAAATTTTTGTATTCCTTTACTTATTGATGCTATATGCCAAAATTGATTGAAACTGGTTCAGTGGCTCAAGACAAGAAGCTGAAAATGTTCAAAAGTTTACGACCAACACATGATGACAGACAAAAACTGATACATGTAGCAATAGGTCAACTGAGTGACTCTGGTAAATACTTCATTATTAATTACCATGATATAAAAGCTTCAGATCCTGACCATCAATAGTTACAGGAAAAGTATTGAAAGTTATCATCAGAATAGACAAAATGTTCTTCAAGTGGTCATCTAAAACAAAAAACATCAAGGTACAACATTTATATCATTAAAGTATTCATATTTTCCCCTTTATTCTGGTCATATGCTGAATGTCCTTATTATGTTACTCTGATGTACCCTTCAGACTTTTGTCCTCTCTGAGAAACACCTCCTGCAGGAGTTGTCTACCTTTGCCTCTTACACACAATATGAAGTTTTCTGACATGTCTGTCTCCAAAATCTGCATGGAAAAAAAATAAATACAATATATGACAATACAATTATTCATCTTGGATATATTTTTAGAAAGCACTGAGCTACCTTTGCGAGAAAATTCTTCAATATTGAACAAGACAAGGATGCAGTTTCCCTTGAGAAAGAAACCAATGTCATCTGAAATACAAAGTTTAAAATCTCTATAAAAATGTTACAACTTTTTTTTTCTACAAATTAAGTAAAAATTTTCTATTTCCCTGTTACATATACTTCTGCCAATACACTATTATAAACTGTTTTGTGCAACTGTACATTGTACAGTTTTCTTTTTTTTTGGATATGTACATTACGCACCATAAATGCCTCAGTAAACTCTGCATTAGCAAACATTTCATACAAGTGGTGGACGTCTTCCAAGTTTTCTATAAAATCATCAGAATCATCTTCTTGGGCATTAACAATGCCATTCAGCCAGCAATCAATCTGAAACAATTTAGAGACCTAGAACATTATACAATATCACACTGAAAATAGGCATTTAAACAGTTTGATTTTTAACTGTTTATGAATTGTGCACTGTTTTCTTTTTTTTGCTGAATACTTAAATATATTGTATTTAGTAGTATATGCATATATGTACATGTATCCTGATTCAAGTATTCTAAATTTACAAGCCTTCTGACAGAATTGCAAAGCAATACATGTCTTGCTTAAAAAAAAAACTACAAATATGTCCATAGGATATGATTGCCCCATCCAAGGTTCATTAGTAATGTAACATGAAAATTTGTATTAGGGTATGAAGTTTGATGAAAATAATTTGAATAGTTTCTTTGAAACTGAGCATAGCACAAATTTTTGAAAAGGTCATGGTTATAGGAAAGGTCAAGGTCAAAAAATATTGATGAAGCTGAATTGCTCTTGTCAATATGTATCAGCATAAGAAGTTTGACAAAAATATCTCGAATACTTTCTTTGAAACCAAGCCAAACAAAGCGTGATGGAAGGACAGAAGTTAAGGATGGACAGGACAAATACTATATATAGCCCTCAGGTCATGGCAGGGCATTAAACAAGAGGCCCATGGGCCACATCGCTCACCTGAGTAACTTTGGCCATGCTGTTCTTTACCAGATTCTCCTCCTTTTAATATACCTATTGTGGCTCCGCCCTACCCCCGAAGGTCATGATCTGAACAATTTAGAATCTGCACTACCCCAGGATGCTTCCAAATAAGTTTCAGCTTTATTGGTCCAGTGGTTCTTGTCAAGAAGATTTTTAAAGATTTTTCTTATATATTTCAATGTAAAACTTGGATTCCCTATTGTGGCCCCGCCCTACCCCCGGGGGTCATGATTTTTACAATTTAGAATCTACACTACCCCAAGATGCTTTCATAAAAGTTTCAGCTTTTCTGGCCCAATGGTTCTTGAGAAGAAGATTTTTAAAGATTTTTCTTATGTATTTCAATGTAAAACTTGGATTCCCTATTGTGGCCCCGCCCTACCCCCAGGGGTCATGATTTGAAAAATTTAGAATCTACACTACCCCAGGATGCTTTCATAAAAGTTTCAGCTTTTCTGGCCCAGTGGTTCTTGAGAAGAAGATTTTTAAAGATTTTTCTTATGTATTTCAATGTAAAACTTGGATTCCCTATTGTGGCCCCACCCTGCCCCCGGGGGTCATGATTTGAACAATATAGAATCTACACTACCCCAGGATGCTTCCATATAAGTTTCAGCTTTTCTGGCCCAGTGGTTCTTGAGAAGAAGATTTTTAAAAAATTTTCCTATATATTTCAATGTAAAACTCCAATTCCCTATTGTGGCCCCGCCCTACCCCCGGGGGTCATGATTTTTACAATTTAGAATCTACACTACCCCAGGATGCCTTCATAAAAGTTTCAGCTTTTCTGGCCCAGTGGTTCTTGAGAAGATTTTTAAAGATTTTTCTTATGTATTTCAATGTAAAACTTGGATTCCCTATTGTGGCCTCGCCCTGCCCCCGGGGGTTATGATTTGAACAATATAGAATCTACACTACCCCAGGATGCTTCCATAAAAGTTTCAGCTTTTCTGGCCCAGTGGTTCTTGAGAAGAAGATTTTTAAAGATTTTTCTTATGTATTTCAATGTAAAACTTGGATTCCCTATTGTGGCCCCGCCCTACCCCCGGGGGTCATGATTTTTACAATTTAGAATCTACACTACCCCAGGATGCTTCCATAAAAGTTTCAGCTTTTCTGGCCCAGTGGGTCTTGAGAAGAAGATTTTTAAAGATTTTTCTTATATATTTCAATGTAAAACTTGGATTCCCTATTGTGGCCCCGCCCTACCCCCGGGGGTCATGATTTTTACAATTTAGAATCTACACTATCCCAGGATGCTTCCACATAAGTTTCAGCTTTTCTGGCCCAGTGGTTCTTGAGAAGAAGATTTTTTAATGACCCCACCCTATTTTTGTCTTTTCTTGATTATCTCCCCTTTGAAGGGGACTTGGCCCTTTATTTTAACAATTTACACTCCCCTTCACCCAAGAATACTTTGTACCAAGTTTGGTTAAAATTGGCCCAGTGGTTCTTGAGAAGAAGTTGAAAATGTGAAAAGTTTACAGACGGACGGACAGACGGACAGACGGACGGACGGACGGACGGACAGACGGACAGACGGACGGACGACGGACAACGGGTGATCAGAAAAGCTCACTTGAGCTTTCAGCTCAGGTGAGCTAAAAATAGAAGATTTTTGTTTCTTTAAATCAATTTTCAGTGACAAAGATTAATACATGTACTCTTACAAGGAAGGTGAAATTCAAAGAAAACCAATTTTAATCTGCATCTTTAAGTTACCAGTAGTGTATGAAATCTTATCTCTCTGCTTGAAAAAGTGAATATGAAAAATGGAGATACAGTGAAATCTGTCTTATTCAACATGCTGAGGGAAATAAAATCAATGTAAGATTAGACAGTGTGTCATATTACCCAGTGTTGAATATTTATGAACACTATTAGTTTCAGATGACTTCAAACAAAAAAAAAATTTAACTAGGTTTAGAGTACAAAAGTATTCAATTGTCAAAGTGTTCACATAATTGTGTTTTTCTTTGTTGTGTAAACACATGTACATCTTTGGATGATTAGCATTTCTTTGAAAAACAGTGTTTGTGATAGCATTAATAAACTCTGTAGTAATATACGATGATTTTTTTTAAATGGACAAAACAGATGGAATTGCCGATCGCTTTGAGATGTTTCAATTTATTTTAGATTTTACTTACTGATAGTACATATTTGAGTAAATATTTTGTCTACCTTCTCTACACAGTGCTATTTTTTGCTAAATTAAGTTTTGACAAAATTTGCCTTTCATTTAGTTTTATTTGCAAAATAATTGTTTCTTCTACTGAAGAATATTATTATCTTCAAAAATCTCTTGCTTTTGGTTTTTTCATTTTTTAACACACAGTCCTTCAAAATGACACCTTAGTTCCAATCATCCAACTCTTAATTTGTGGAAAAAATGCATTATAAACTGAACAAATTTATCCTTAATTTTGTTTTGCACAGTAGTAACTAGATCTGAATTCAATAAAAGTTTAATAAAAAAAAAAACCCTCAGGAAATCAGAACTTTAATTTTTAGCCAATAAAGAGTCATGTAATGCAAGATATTTAAGGATGCAAATGTAATAACATGAGTGCACCTTTCAAATGAAGCACTATAAACCTAACATTAACATGTTACATAAAACAAAACTATAGCTTACAATTTGAGGCCCAGCTTTGTTGCAGATTTCCAAGTCCAGGAAAACCCAGTACAGAAATGCAGAGTGGTGAGTGAACCATAAACTGGGAGACTCTTCACAAACAGTTCTTAACACAAGGTCACCAGCTTAAGAACAAAACATACTCAATTTAAAACAAGAGCCCCATGGACTACACTGCTCACCTTTGTTAATTTTTACAATATGTAGGAATGCAGGCATACATGTTCATTTAATAGAGAGATTTAGCAAACTCACCTGTACATCAAAGTACTTGTAAACTACAAGTTATTAGAATTACATGTATACGTTTACATTATTTTTCTTGTTTAGCAATGTATAACCTGTACGTGTACTTGTGTTTGAAATGTAGAAGTCCTTATCATTAGAGAGGTTTAGCAAACCAACGTGTACGTGTACATGTACTGTGATGTAGAAGGGGATTCCCCGAAGATTTAATGCAAATGCCCATATAAAGAACAAAACATCTACCATAAAAACATTTTCAGAAAGTATTTTCTATATGTTCTCCTGATAAACTTTGATTTCCATTAGTTGTCAAAAAAAACAAAAAAAAAAACAAAACAGCAAGGCTTTGTAATTAAAGAGGTTTAGCAAACCAACTTGTAGGTGTATGTATAGCAGGGGATTCCCCCTGGAAATCTGTGCATTACGTCATCAGTTTTGCATCATTGGAAACCCACGATTGATTACGCTTCATTCCTCTCTCCATCATGGTGAGGGAGAGAGGATCGAAGCATAATCAGTCGTGGGTTTCCAACGACACAGTTTTGCAACTGACAAATTTCTACATGCATCCACTTCCGTGTAGATGGCTGAGTACGTATAAGTCCAAACTTGTAGCTTAAACAGTGAATTAAGCCTCATTTATCTAAACACTTAAGTTCCCAGTCAAAATTGTCCAGATAGGTGAAGCATCCGGATACCTGAATTGCCTTGATTTTAGTTATATGGCCTACCATTGGCAATAGTGAAAAATTCTGCTTTATATCAATATGTTTTATTGTTTAAATACTTTAATATAGATTAGCACTACTAAATAACACCTGTTTAAATAAAATAACAAGAGGCCCAGGGGCCACATCGCTCATCTGAGCACTGTGGCTAGGAAAAAAGCAAAAATCAGTTTAGTATTGCAATGCTTAAATGCATAAGTGGTTCTGACCTACCCCTAAAAGGGAGGGGGTATGATTTGAACAAATTGAACCTACACTAACTAAGGATGCTTACATATTTTTTTTGACTAACTGTGACTTTTTTCCTACAAGTTTAAACTTTCATTGTGGCCCCTACCTACCCCTGAGGGTCATGATTTGATCAAACTTGAATGTACACTATCTGAGGATGCTTCCATATAAATATGACCAATCATGGCTTTGCTGTTCTTGAGAAGAAGATTTTTTAAGATTTCTCCTATATATTCATATGTAAAACTTTGATTGTCCATTGTGGCCCCACCCTACCCCGGGGATCATGATTTGATCAAATTTTAATCTACACCACCTGAGGATGCTTCCATATAAATATGACCAATCATAGCTTTGTTATTCTTGAGAGAATTTTTTGCAATTTTTCTTATATACTCCTATGTAAATCTTTGATCGCCCACTGTGACCCCACCCTACCCCCAGGAGTCATGATTTGAACAAACTTGAATCTACACTACCTGAGGATGCTTCCATATAAATATGACCAATCATGGCTTTGTTGTTCTTGAGAAGAAGGTTTTTTAAAGATGTTCCCTATGTTTTCCTATGTAAAACTTTGATCGCCCACTGTGGCCCCACCCTACCCATGGGGGTCATTATTTGAACAAACTTGAATCTACATTACCTCAGGATGCTTCCATGTAAATATGACCAATCAAGGTTTTGCTGTTCTTGAGAAGGTTTTTAAAGATGCTCCCTATGTATTCCTTTGTAAAACATTGATTGCCCACTGTGGCCCCACCCTACCCCCTGGGGTCATGATTTGAACAAACTTAAATCTTCACTACCTGAGGATGCTTCCATATAAATATGACCAATCAAGGCTTTGCTGTTCTTGAGTAGAAGATTTTTAAAGATGTTCCCTATGTACTCCTATGTAAAACTTTGATTGCCCACTGTGGCCCCTACCTACCCCTGAGGGTCATGATTTAATCAAACTTGAATCTACACTACCTGAGGATGCTTCCACATAAGTTTCATATTTTCTAACACAGTGGTTCTTGAGAAGAAGATTTTTGAAAGATGCCATAAATTTTTCATGAATTCGCAATTATCTCCCCTTGGAAGAAGGCTTGAGCCTTTGGCTCAGGTGAGCTAAAAAGTACATTGGATGTAACGTTGTTTACATGGCCATATTAATTATTTCTGCTACTAAGTTTCTAATGAATGAACTTCCCCTAGCAAACTGCAAAAGTAAAGGACAATGTTTGAATGTAATAGTGCATCAATGGGGAATATGATAACCTGACAAGAACTATACAATGCTATTTATACATCTTTTTATGTATATATTCATAGTCACAAGCTGTGACCCTGTCATTTGTACCTATACACTGGAATACTTTCTGAGTTTTGACACACCTTCCTTCCAAAATGCATCAACTGACAAGGTTTGATGGTCCTAGCCTCACAGTGTACATGATATGATGCAGACATGATTTGACTACTAAAGCCATAAAATTCTGAAATGAGGTCCTGGCACAGTGACCTAATGTTGGTTTGTAAGACATCCTCTTCCTGACAAGGGTTGATGGTACCTCACATAGTGCAAGATATAAGATATGAAAAAGCTTACAGAACTACAGACAGAAGGATGGACAGGAAAGCCTATACTTCAAAAGGACTCATCATATGATTGGCAAATAAAAAGTATAAGAACAAATAATTACCTAGATTATGTTTCTCAATGTTGTTTTGGAGAAGGGACACTGAAAACTAAATGTCAAAACTACAGGTTATGTTCTAACTGAAATAGTTAACACTGTAAATAATAAGGTGACTGTTTATAGGAAAACATTATCTATTCAAATGAATTTCATGAAGGTTAAGTGATATTTAAAGGGGGCTCATTATTTTTTTCCCCAATATATTTTAAACTTGTCAAACTCACAGCCCACAAAAAGACTAGCTGCTTCTTCTCCAGGGGGGATAACTGCATCTGACTATAAATACTCTCTACATAACCATTGGTAATAGTTAGAATTTCTTGTCCACTTAAAGGTCTGAAAGTACATAACTTACTTTATATGGTTGAAATTTAGAATATCACACAAATATTTAGCTATATATTCTTCTTTGCTATAAAACTGCATACTTACATATCATCTAATTTGCACATATGGTAAATGAGGAAAAGGTAGAGATTTCTTGTTGCATCACTCATATGCTGCAGTGTTATCTGATATTCATTCAGATTATCTGAAAAGTTTAAGTTTAAACTAATTAAAAATTTCAAACCCAAAGTTCAGCTCTGAGTTTATAGTTTTCAAAACTGAGTACTTTTTAAATTCAAAATGCCAGTGTCAACCCAATCAGGAAAAGGTAACTCTGGAGTGTCCTCCTCATGAAGAACATGACAAAGTTGTAACATGAACTTGTTCTCTGAATCCAGCATCTCTGAAGATCTGGAAAGAATTAACATTAACAGCAATATAACCCTAGGTTCAATAACCATTGGTTACATATCACCAGATCTATTTTATGTTGGGTTTTTTGTCATTCATTTCATAAATTAATTCAGAAAAAAGTTTTCCCCTGGAAAAAAAAATTATTTGGATAGTTTGGAAGTGACCTTTCAATCACCATAACAGAAATTAATGCATTATGTTAAACAATTCTTTATGTACAAACTCTTGTCTCCTGTTGATGACGGTAGACAGAAATCCTTCTGATATCATCTGTATCAAGAGCTGGGTACATTGACCATGGTCAGCACTGTACAGTTCTAGCAACAACTTCTGGAGCTGTCGACATAGTAATGGGTTACCTCCCTTGATCATACTTTTCTGTTAGGTAAAAGAGACATTAGGAAAACATAAAAAACAAGAAAATATGATAAATTGATGGCATAACAATGCGCAGTAATTCCGTTAGGAGCAATTTGCAACCCTCAATACATTACATAATTGAAGAAAAAAGTTGACAAATCAGTGCAAAAACCACTTTCTCTTTTAAGTTTCCTTACCATTGCTAAAGGTACAACATTGTCAATGACAGAATTGATAATAAATTTCTTAAACTGCTGCAGAGAAGTTTCCTTGGATTGGGAATCAGTAGACACATAGTTTGTAGCACAGGTCAAAGGGTCATCCCAGCACTCCTCCAGCAATCTATAGATGATGTAAATATTATCCAGTATACTGGTAAAATATACTTAAGTTCAAGGGTAAAACAGATGGAAGTAATTGCAATGCTACAATAACTCTAAAGCAGAAACATAGGTAATCAGATATTACAGAGCTCACCTCAACGAATGTTGTCTTTAAGTAAGGCAAAGTCCTACACTAAACTAATAATCTAGTAGTGTGCATCCCTAGATGCAACATTTATGCAATTTTGGTCTGATAGGGCTTGCAGTTACTTGGGAATGGACTTATCTAAAAACTTTAAACTAGTCACTCATCCAGAAAATGTAAGTCAAATCCAGCATCTGAAGCAAGTTTGAGAGTGTTCGTCCCTTGATGCATCATCCATGCAAGTTTGGTTCAGATAGGCCTTATAGTTACTTGGAAATGAGATCTGCTCCAAAAACTTTAACCTGGTCACTCATCCGGAAAATATAGGTCAGATCCAGCATCTGAAGCAAGTCCAGTAGTGTGCATCCTTAGATGTATCATCCATGCAAGTTTGGTCAAGATAGGACTTAAAGTTACTTGGAATGAGATCTGCTCCAAAAACTTTAACCTGGTCACTCATCCGGAAAATATAGGTCAGATCCAGCATCTGAAGCAAGTCCAGTAGTTTGCATCCTTAGATGTATCATCCATGCAAGTTTGGTCAACATAGGACTTAAAGTTACTTGGATATGAGATCTGCTCCAAAAACTTTAACCTGCATGGTCACTCATCTGGAAAATGTAGGTCAGATCCAGCATCTGAAGCAAGTTCAGTAGTGTGCATCCTTAGATGTGTCATCCATGCAAGTTTGGTCAATATAGGGCCTATAGTTACTTGGAAATGAGACCTGCTCCAAAAACTTTAACCTGCTCCAAAAACATTAACCTGGTCATTCTTTAGCTGAAATTGCAGCATCTGAAACCTTGACTGGTACAATGAAACAGACTAGAAGCATCCTTCATGCATCTCTGATTAATATATGGCATAGAAGTTCTTGAAAAGAAAACTGCTCCAAAAACTTTAACCTGGGACGCTGACGCCTAGGGTATTAGATAAGCTCCCCCAACTTCGTTGAGGCGAGCTTAAAAAGGAAACAAATCTGAGTACATGTATGCATAGATAATCAGAAGAAATACAAATAATAGAAATTACTTAGTTGATATCAAACAAAACTGGAAGCAAAAGTATCAATAACTATACTGGAAACATGCTCCATGAATAAGAATGACAATTTCTATTGGATCCTTCCATTTCTTTTCCTCAGAACTCTGCAATACTCCATTTTTGTCTCTGAAGACAATGGAACCCAAAGACATGTCCACTTTTAAGAGTTTGTTGATCATCAATTCAATTATTCTCTTCAAGACCTCAAACGGGACTGGCAACAGAAGATGGTTTTTCCTGGTTCAAAAAAGAAAAGGAATCCTCATCTTGGCTGGATGATGTACTTATAAGACGGAGAGGAGCAGATAAAGAGTATATAGAGGAAGACATTTAATTTAACTCAGTTATCTCTCTTGAAAATCAGACTGCATTCAAAATATATTTCTATAAGATCATGCATAATGTAATATATCATTATTATATAGCTAATAAATTGTCTACTATAAAAACTTCTATAAGTCTAGAGAATTTTAGCGGTCAATATCTTGACATTTTAATGAAAGCTGAGTATGCAATACATATAGGAATATTCCCTGAGACTTTCTGAATGCGAGCATTCAATATTGAATGCCCCAGTTAAACAAAAAATGTCTGGTCAACCGCTCAATGGTTATATTTATGATGGCAGCTAGGTAAAATGTGTTTCTTTTCACACAAAATTGAAATAATCAATAAGTTGGTACCAATAAGCCTCAATAAAAATCTCAATAAGCAAATCATAACACTTGGTAGGGTCATTGGAATGATGTGATATTGAACACTTCCAGGATCGACATCGATATTGCACAGTTTAAATACCAATACTGAAAAAAACTCTCATTAATTCTGAGTTATATTTATTTAAATAATTGATATATATCTACTGGAAAATGTTTTAGCTATATAATAAAGGTAGTTATTGAACTTATATTGGTGAATATTGTCACTCTTGGCTGTACAAATGCACTCCCAAGCTCATGCATTTGCACAGCCAACTCGTGCCAATATTCACCAATATAAATTCATCAACCCTATACTATCGAGACTTTCTTTTTCATATTTAATTTAAAAATTCATCATAAGCATGATTGTAGCTAAACAGGACTGACTTAATGACTGCACAAAGGGACTGCATACTGCTGACAAAGACCTCAGGGTGCTGCTCTTGAATTCCCAAACTGATCAATTCCAAACAAGAGGTCAAGGTGGGGGTGTTGATGAATAAAGGTACACTGCTTGGCTGTCTAAAAATATAAATATACTGGAAGTACTGTAAATTGTGTCCATTCATAATTACCATCTTAATACTTAGATTCCTATACATGTACTCAGTTCCCTACATATGTATTTTTTTAAATATTGAGTTACCAGTAAGTTCCGATCACAAAATCCTATTTTCTCTCTAAATTCTACTAACTGCAAGTTACTCTTCTGAGAGTAAAATGAAAGATGCAATCCATAGACTGGGTTCTATTAAGATGCACTTTTTTTCATCTTTTAAGATTGAATTTCAGGAAGATCATTAGGATCAAGGCTTGAGGAAAATAAAGTGGATGTTTCTATTAGAAGCAGAAGTAAAATAGAACTATCAGCATGTTAGAAGCCCATATGCCTTCCAAATTAACAGATCTGCTCAGCTAAATGATAGCTGCAATTAGTTGTTTTCTCATATATCTATATAGGATGCACCAAAATGTGCTAAACGTTATCTCAGAATAGATACTTGAACAGCAAGCATGAAATGCACACTGATACGATTTCCCTTAACATAACTTACAAGTTTACATGAATTTAAACTTGCCTCGTCAGTAGAGCTGCCAAGATATCAAAACCAGTTTTACAGAGCTCAAAATTCTTCTTCTCTAGCAGACTTTCCAAGGCATAAAATATAGATTCTAACCCTGAAATCAACTGTCATGTAGAGTTTTTTCAAAAAAGATGTAATAACCCATATACAAGTATATACTAATAGTGATAAAATAGAACATACCATAGACAGCATGGCATTTGGTGTAGAACAGATCTGAATGACACAACGACTCCAGAGAATCTAGGACAAATCTACAAATATAAAGCTCCTGAGTGTCATTAAGGATACAAATTCAAGAGAACATAGCATAATTATAAGTTCAATGGAAAACTTTGAAAATGCAGTTTACATATTAGAAATGGAAATACAAAAATGATGAAATCTGATCTTTGTTAACATTAGAACATGTGTTACATTAAAAGTTTAAATCTAAAGTTTAAATGTAACACATGTACAATACAATTATGAAAGTAGCATGCATCTTAACTTGAAAACCTAAAGTACAAAACATTGAACAAAGGCATGTGCAGCATTTCTATGCCCTTGGTAAAAATCTAGAAGGCAATGTCAGAAAAGGAAAAAATAAAATGAATATAGACATTTTCTTACTTCAACTGATCAGGACTTTGACAATGTAAAGCTTCAAACATAAACTCTGGATACAACATTAAAAGGAATAAGCATGAAAGAAGGATAATAAAATAAACTAATCTGCATAGATTCAAGATTTATTGACAATATAAAAAATGATTTTGGATCTAATTAAATTATATTTTGCAATACAACGTATTTAGTTTTAAATCCTTTCATTTATAATATATTACAGCATAAGGAATAAAAAGAAAAAAGTTTGCATACCAATAATGTCACAGTTAAGAACTGTTCGGCAATAATCTTCATTTTCCTGTGACAATATGCATGATAGAACATAGAGAGCTGACCTCTGAAGGTCAGAGTTCTTGCTAATGATTAGCTTCTTCAGAGAGGTCAAAAGGTTTAAATTGTTCAGGTCAAGGGTCATCAGGATCTGTGTCAGTTCTGCACTGCTGATCAATTTCTTCAGTAAGGCTAAAATGAATTTTAAATTTTTTTTTAAATTTGTTTTTTGTTTGTTTGTTTGATTGTTTATTGTTTAACGTCCCTCTCGAGAATTTTTCACTCATATGGAGACGCCACCACTTGCTGGTGGAGAGCTACAAATTTCGACCTATACTCGGCACTCAGGGCCGTTGAGCATTGAGGGATCTTTTTCGTGCCAGCACATACTGTGACACGGGACCTCGGTTTATACGGTCTCATCCCAAAGACCGGTCTCCATGTCCCACAATGGGATTCGAACCCGCGACGTAAGGATCAACTCCTTACTTCGCGACTCTAGAGTGAATGCTCTAATCACAGCACCATGCGGGTGACCTTTTAAATTTGAACATACTCTTAACTATTTATTTTGCTACTTTGATTTTAGAAACAGTAAAATATCCATAACAAAGTGCCGGGGACAGACAATTTTGCTTCAATATAACCAGAAGTCTCTGTCAAGACTGTAGCTCTACTGGTTTGTACTTATAACAAAGGAAGAGAAAAGTAGCACTTGGACTTGAAAATTTGCAACATCAATAAATAAATAATAATCCTTGTTTTACTCTCTTTTTGTAGCAAGATGAATTGCAATCAGACTAAAACTGTAGAAGGAGTAGCCTTTTAAAAGAATTTTAGAGAAATTTTGATTTTTAGTTACCATGGCAACATCATTCATCAAAATCAAAAAACAATAAAGACAATTATGAATAATATATCTCAGTGTAGTCTACTTGCATGTCATGTTATATTAAAATCAGACCAAACTGTAGGCGAAGTAATGTTTTGAAAGTATATCAAAGAAATTTCAATTTTTTGTAACCATGGCAACACTTCACCAAAATGAAAAAATGGGTATACAGAATTATGTATCTCAGTGTAATCTACTTTTATGCCAAGTTATATTGAAATCAGACCAAAACTGTAGGAGGAGTAGCATTTTGAAAGTATTTCACAGAAATTTCTATTTTTAGTAACCATGACAACACTGTTCATTGAAATCAAAAACTGATATATAGAATTATGTATCTTAGTGTAGTCTACTTGTGTGCCAAGTTATATTGAAATCAGACCAAAACTGTAGGAGGAGTAGCATTTTGAATGTATTTCACAGAAATTTCTATTTTTAGAAACCATGGCAACACTGTTCACCGAAATCAAAAACCGAAATACAGAATAATGTATCTTAGTGTAGTCTACTTGTGTGCCAAGTTATATTGTGTCATGGAGGTGACCGGAAATTATAACTTTTTTTGATTCCAAAATACATGTCAGTATAAATCCGTGGTTAATAAATCCTTGTAACTCTTGTAATTCTCAATCCAATAAAAAGTCAGTAAACAATGCACTAATTTATTTACATATATACAATGAGGAGGCACAGTACAAAGGAAAGATGTTACATTTATGCTAGCAAACATACTGTCTAAATCCACCTATTATATACGAATCTTGGCTCCAATAGATGATTATCTGAAACATTAGCTCCATTCTATTGATTAACTTAAACTCCAACTCTACATATATCTTTATCAAACTGTCCTCACGCTAACTTGACCTTAACTCAATACAGGGCTCTCAGTTCTATGAACAATAGCTCCCATTGCTCCACTAATTAAAAGCTCATTATTCTTGACCACACTTAGACATTGCTCTACTCTTAATAACCCTAACACAGCTTGAATAGTCTGGGCAACACATCCTTATGTCTGTAACTCTAAGCATTTAATCATAAATCACTTCTTTACTTTTGAACCTAAAATTACTACTCATCAATTGAAATCAGACCAAAACTGTAGGAGGAGTAGCATTTTGAAAGTATTTCACAGAAATTTCTATTTTAGTAACCATGGCAACACTGTTCATTGAAATCAAAAACTGATATACAGATGCATCTTAGTGTAGTCTACTTGTGTTCCAAGTTATATTAAAATCAGATTAAAACTATGGAGGAGTAGCATTTTGAAAAATTGTTTACAGACAGACGGACGACGGATACCTTACTATCGCATAAGCTCTTCTGGTCTCTGACCAGTAGAGCTAAAAATGTAATACATTATATCTGTTAAATTCACAATATATTTTAATGCTGGGAATGAAAATTACTTTGCTGTAAGAGTCAATTCATTATAAGCATGTTTTACTGTGTGTGACTAGTTACATTGCTGATGACCTGGATGGTATATTTTTGCTTTACATCTCACACTTATATAGTACATGCATATTTAATTTCAATGTGACTAGATGAAATCCCGCGCAAGCGCGGGGAATTGAATTTATACCACTACCGACAGAAAAAATCTAATAATATATATATTGTAGTTTCTACTGACAGTCTACAGGCTTATAGCAGGAAGAAATACTTTGTTCAAAATCCCGCATAAAGTAGAAGTACGTTTCCACCCCCTCCCCGTTAAACTTAAATAACAATATCATTAATTGACGTTTATTGTGAAACCTGTTATATACAATGTACTATGTTATGGATATTGTACTTCAAATGCTCTTATTTCATTTCCGTCACGAATAAAAGCAGTGAATATGCACATTTTACCGAGAAATAGATTTTTTTTTTTTTTTGTAAAAATTCACAGGTACTTGGATCTTGGTTTATAAATATGTATGTACCTTATTGATATGTAAAAACTGTACCTTACCTCTTTCTTTTTTTACATATCAATAAGGTACATGTATACATATTTATAATCCAAGACCTAAAAGTACCTGTGTAAAAATTAGCTTTTATTTAACGCCCTATGAATACACTGGCGGATTTAGAGGGGGGCCCAACCCCCCTCCCGTTTTGTGTCCAAAATATACATAAAATTGAATAAATCTTTTTTTTTTTGGTGTGTCCATGGCCCCCTACCCCAATCCCAAACTGGTCCCCCCTTTTAAGATTCCTGGATCCGCCACTGGAATATAGGCCGAGTATTTGATACAAAAGACTGTATTCAGAAAAAAAACTGAGATGTATTAATTAAAGCACAAAATTATACAACATAATTGTATTTGAATAATGCCTTATTCATTGATATTCTCTTTTCATGTAAGCAAGTTTATTACAAAGTACAAATTGTACTTCGGGTTCGTTGCCACGATGCTCTCAGTGAGGAATCTATACAAATTTTACCGATAAATTTATTAGGAAAACCTACTACATATATGTAATAGTCTTTCGATATATAAATATATTCACAACTTACAGTGTTATCAATGATTTACCATTATTTCAATGACCATTCACACAAAAGCTTTTTTTTTTTCTTTTTAACATCGGGCTCGATGCTATATGATGTTCTAGAAGCTTCTGTCAATATTACGATCGGTGAATGACGAAAATAATTTGCACATTTCCCTTTTTAATAGGTTATCACAACTTATTTCTTTTATATCATTTAAATCAAGTTTTGATTGAATAATTCAGTAATGACGTTTAATGAAATAAATAAACGATTGCTTGTTGTCAGTTTCATTAAAAATTGCCAGTAACTTTGATCCGCCAACCGGAAACGCCACTGTACTCACGTTTTTGCTATTTCATGGCTGTTTATAGAAAATAAAAGTAGACTTTTAATTTAATGTACGATACTTACAATGCAAGTGAAATCTAGATATAGTTTACGGACATCATCTTGTATCGTGTGTATTCTTAGAGGAGTAAGTAAGAACTCTGGTGCATCCGTTTCGGAGTTTATTTGCAAAATTTATTAATTTATAAGTATATAGATACAAGAAAAACATAATGCAGGTCGAACCTTACATATTTGTGAGTGATGTGTTAATTCATTTTTAAGATACTTAATGGTCCCCTAAATACATTTCACAAGTTTCCTCCCTCTTGCATGTAAAATAAAATTTTATAATAAAATTTCATTATCTAATGTTTAAAAAGCCATTACTTAAAAGAATTGGGTGATATAACTTTGATCCTATCCATACATCAACAAGCAAGTATGATTATGTAAACCTAAGGAGAAATCTTGCCAAATATAAAAATTACTCTCAGCACGAAACAGGTCTAGCACAAAGCATACATTGAAAAAAAAAAGTCCTTAATAATACTTTTGCTGCAGATATATCAGAATGTTGCATAATATTACATGGAATATTTACAATACATAAATAAACAAAATGCATGTCTGAAGTATGATCAAGATAAAAAGAGAAATGTTGAAATTTCCTTAACATATTGGCTTAAAAGTACAGATAGCATCTCCAACCTGGCTCCCTAACACACACCTGTTATTTGAGCATGAATTCCCTAAAATTCTTCAACAAAAAAATAGGTAAAGCCTCAAATGTTATATGCAATGCAATCACTAGCAGTTGAAAAATCTTGAATTCCGAAAATTTACGAGGGTTGATCCAAAAGTAATGTCACAACTGCTATAAAATCTTTAATAATCGAATGTTATCAACAAAATTTTATATAGTCTACAGTCAAACCTCGTTATCTCAAACTCGAAGGGACCGAGAAAAAACTTCCAGATATCCAAGGATTCGAGATATCGAGGGTAAAATACTTTAAGAATAAGTGCTTGTGATATACAAATCACTTCGACATGGTATTCGAGATATCAGTGTTCGAGATAACGAAGTTCAACTGTAATTACTCTTTCTATTTTGACTTTTGCCTTAAAATTTCATTCAGATATATGCAGTACTTTTTAAAATATTGAAATAAACACAACACTGGGTCTCATCTATCACAACACGGCAAGAATGTACCGAGATTGTTATGACGTTTCTCTTCAGCACTCATTTTCAGTTCGTCCACAACTTAGATCTATGCAAAAAGGAATGAATTTAGAAATAACATTTGGACAAAGTTCAAATAATTTTAATACAACAACTAAAAAAAAAGATGCTTTAGATTACAGAAAAATAGAAGCTAAGATTATTAAAAAGAAGTATGGGAGAAGTTTAAAAAGATATGCGCCAGATGATCTGAAAATGAGTGTCGAAAAGTAACGTCATAACGACGTCAGTAACATTCTTGCCGTGAGGCGATAGACAAAAACCTAATGTTGTGTTTGTCTTAATATCTTAAAAAATATTTAATATATTAAACTGAATGAAATTTTAAGGCAAAAATCGAAATAGATAGGGGAATTAGTAAAATTTTGTTGATAAAATTTGATTATTAATGATTTTATCACATTTGTGACATTAGATTTGGATCAACCCTCATACATCTGCATGCATCATGTATCCCAAAGGCTCACCTGCTACTTAGCATATACATAAAATAAATCACATTATTTCATTGTTGAAGATGTAATAAATCTCTGAATACAATGAGGAGTGATGAGGATTGAATGTTTATATGTAACATATGTATAAGTGTTTTGAGTTTTGATAAAAAAAAAAATCTCAAATAGTTACTTTGAAACTGAACTAAATACAAAATAGGGAATGGTGATCAAGGTCACTGGAAAAGTCAAGGTTAGAAAATTATGCCAAAGTTGAGTAGCTCTCACCAATATGTATCAGTGTATGAAGTTTGGTTAATACATCTTGAACAGTTTTTTTGAAACTGAGCTACATGCAAAGTGAGAGATGGAAGGACAGAAGAATGCATGGAAAGGTCAGAAGGTTAGAAGGATGGAAGACAGACATAACAAACACTATATGTCCAGGCCATATGTCCAGGCCATATTCATGACGGGGCATAAAAATCCTATAACTGTAATGGTTTGTATGGATAACCCCATGAAAAAGTGGTTCATTATTCTTTAAATCTCCAACTTGAACATTTTACAATTTTACATTGTATAAATTACCATATCATTATCAATGTGACAAACTTTGTATTGTATTGTGGCTGAAGAACTGCTACACCCCAAACTGTTCTATAAATGCTTACCCATGAGATTCCTAAGGAGGTATGGGGCCTTGGCTGTATGAAGAAGACAGACCACTTCTTGGGCCAGTGCATGCTGGACACTGACAGGCATGACAGCCTCCCATGGACCCACCAGAACATAGACAAACAGATAGACTGTGTTACTCTGGAATTCCTCATCAGGGTTACTAAGACCATTCACCAAGCACTGCAGCACTTGCTCTGCAAGGATAAAATACTCATACATGAAAATAATTGAAGTCATTAATAATATATTCAGTCATTATTTATAACATTTCAAATTTTTTTTTAAAAATTTCATTGAAAATAAAAGGAGTTTATGATCAGTCAGATGTGTACATGATTGGGCAACAGCCATAGCCAATGGAAAGTTCATTACAGATGAAATGAGACACAGCAACAGTTATATAGCATATATGTATAGTAAAACCTTACAGAATAAAAGTACCTGGTATTCATGCCACATATTAACCTTGAGGTTCCAAGTAAATCAACCTTACCCCTGTTTGTAATGAGAAACCGAGAAATGACAAACACCATTACAATCAGGCATAATAGAGATTAGGAACCGAGATACTGAGGCTCAGAGAGATGAGAGGGGAGATAAAAACAGTTAATGAATAGGATTATAACTAATCAATCAGAAACAGTTATAAATTTCTACAATTCAAATGAACTTGTAACAAAAGTACTAACAGATAAAGCCTGTGTTTATTGTACTGTAAAAAGCAACACTATCTTTCTCTTGGCAGGCTTGAAGAGAATTTCACCTGATAATACAAACATTTTCAGAATCATAAAGATCACATCAGATAATCACGAATCATACAGCTAATTTTAGCTTTTCGGCATTTAGAACGATGTTGTCTGTAGAATGTTTCCTATGCTATGTTTCTTCTCCAGACAGGTTGAACCAAAAAAACCTTTGATCTGAATAGAATGCAATTAAAGCTGTACTTTAAAAAATTGTCAGAGATAATAGAACTTATACATGTACATTCTTATGATGGTTTTCATTCACCTCATGTAGAAGTCATGTTTTATTACAGAGTAATATTTACATGCATGAAACTTAGTAACAGAGATGTGGTGATTACATGTATCTCAAATGTACTGACAATATTTTCTGCATTTTTTTTTACTTCAATCTATAAATTCAGATCTTATTTTTGCAATTCAATACATTCTCTTTCATAATGGAGACATCTTAAAGTTTGGATTTTGATTGAAAATGCATTCTGAGAGTACTGCATAAATATATTAACTCTTCTATTAGTTTGGCCATAATTCCATCAAAAATTATTGAAGTGGAACAAAATGAAGACTCATATACCAAAACTCAATATATGCAAGTATCTGAAAGAGAGATCAGGAAAACAAGCGTGACAGACTAACAGACAGAGAGACAGACAGGAAACATGTCATCCTCTCCAGTTAATTTTATTGAAAAACTACATGTACATGTAGAAGAGCCAAATATCTGGCTCAATCATATTCAAGGGTTAAATGCACAATATAGTATATAGTTGAAAGTGACATGCACTAGGTGAATTTATATAGACATCAAAATATGGGAGATTTCTCTAGGCAGAGGAGTATAAGATTAACTTCAAATGAACTACAAAATATGAAATACCAGGTAGCTTGCAAAATTACAATCTGAGATGGTTAATATAAATAATTGGATCAGAAAACATTTAAGAAATTTGTGTTACTCACACTATAAGTATGGCATGCCATATAAACAGCAGGCATTGAGTTTTATAATTATGTAAACAGAAATGCTACATAGACAATTTTCTCCTGATACATCATTAAGCCTAAAGGGATCAGTGAGGAGAATAAAAAAAAAAAAAACAGGTGTGAAAACAACCTTTAGGACTCAGTCCCACCTTAGCAGATAGCTCTAACGGATGTCAAATGGATGAAGAAATGGGGACAGAACACATTTTATTGGTAATACGTTACTGAAAATTGTCTCGATTGAATGAGTGAGTACCATGCTTAACAAACGTGCAATGCATGAGAAGCAGACAAAACAGTCAATGAACATTAGACTAAAAGACAATACGGTCAGTGTCCACTGCACATAGTTTATTTGTTTCACTACCGGTTAACGACCAATTGTGACTTAGGTCCAATGGACATCATTGTAAGTAGACTGTAAAAGTCCAGGGAAAGAAGTGCATGAGTTCTGTATAAAACATAAGCAAATGGAAACCTATTACTTACTGTACTTTAAACGGAAACACTACACTTAAAGAGGACACCTTAGTCCAATGGCGTCCATTCCAAGTTTTGAACATGCTCAAAACTTTGTTCCGGATAAAATGAATTTCATCGAACATTAACCATATTTACTATGGTTAATGGACAAGAAATTTATGCAAACGGAGATGAACTGATTGAAAATTTTGCCATCAGTTTTGTCTGTTAGTGCTATCTGGTAAGATGTGACTGAGCCCTTAAAAGCAACTTCCTTTTAACATCAGGTGATTTTTCAAAACAAAAAACATATTATTTTGTAATTTATTGAACACAATATGAGATAAGAGATTACATAAACAGAAAAAAGTGCATATTGCATGTTCAATAGAACATCTTCTGTCTGATCCTGCTTTTGCAATATCCTCTCAATCTAATGTGCATGCAAAGAGCACCTGCATAAAAATTGAAGAGTATGCTGTGAAATTAATCTTTGGAGATGCAACTCTCCAAACCAAACAAGTAAGTCCTAGAAATGTGAAATGTTAAGTACAAACTGGTAAAATGACTGTTTCCATTACTTGACCCCTGAATCTAAAATCAAAATAAGTTTTCTCCTCAAACCAATTGTCTCTGTAGCAAATAAAAATAAATGTTTACTTCTTCACCTGGACATATAGTATCTATGTTCACTAGTAAGTATGAGACTAAAAGATTACATGGTATCCATTTTAAATACATGATGTCCCAAAATTTGCTATAGATCTACATCACACATGCCATTTACTATTTAGTTGATGCAAGTGGACAATAAAATTTTTGAAAGCACAGAGATCTTACCATACTCCTGACAGAGTATCCTAGACAAAGGAGCAAATGCCTTCACCAGCCTTCCTAGGAGTACTATCAAGGGATGTAACTCTTTGGGATTTTCTGTTTGGAACATCTGTTTTGCAAATAGTGAAAACAATACTTTAAAAGAGATAAATGTCAGGTGTTTATGATTAAATCAGAAAACTAACAGATGAACATTATTACCTTCCTCTGGATGTGATCTAAGACATTCTCCAATAAATCTCGAGAATCCATTTTGCTCATCAACTTCAAAAAAACTGCAAAGAAGATTATAAAAAGGGAATAGCAGAGGATGCTTTCTGCCTTTATCTAACATTTACCTGTAAAAATGCTGTACATTACTCTGCTGCTCAACAAAAATACATCTCAGGAGAAGAAACATTCCTTTCTAATGTATTTTTAAAAATTAATGGAGTAAAACGCACACCTTCTCTATTCAATTTTTAATTCACATGATCATTTTGTAAACTTGAAACTCAAGTGTAGTCTTCCTTTGTTGAAATTTGTTTGTGTGTGTTGGTCTTAATTAAACTCTTATTTCCTACAATACCAATTTGAAATTCATAGCATTTATAGTTATCTTAATACTGTAAAATTTTCATTATTGCATATATTTTTAATAGACTAAGTATAAATTTTATACATTCAGCAATAACCAGAATTTGTAAAACTTTTGCTTATAAATGCTTAATACTTATCTCGCAAAAATATGGTGTCACAAAAAATTGGTGATTAATAGTATTTGAAATGTGCAATAATTAAAAGGTGACATAAATGTACATTGTAATTTTGTTATCATTATTACAAAAATGCAGAAACATGTTAGGTAGACCAGCAAATTATCTACACTTGTATTGTGAAATTCATATACTGGCTTTGCAGTCAAAATGATGAGCAGTATATACTGACATAAACATACTTCAAGTATTTATAAGCAGTGTCATAGCCAGCACTTTTCAAAAAAATATTCATTCATGGTGTTAGGGATGCAAGGATTTAGGACATTGATCATGTTCATCAATATTTCAACCACAACACATAAATTTCATCACTTTATCCTAATAGTCCAATCCACACTTTGCAAAAGTTGTGTCGCTATGTGGGGTCAAAGGGAAAGAAATGATGTTTCTCCTTTTTATGCTTAACCAACCATTTGGGCATACTCTGATAAATCCACTGTGTTAAAAAAAATTTCTTTCAATGTATGGGTAGCCCCATCCTCGGGCAATCAATATATAGGATGCACAGATTTTTTCCAGTCAAATGACAAAGTTACACACCAGAAAACTACAAAGGCTATGGTGAGGATTCTAATATGGGTTTTCCCCCAAAGATGGTGACCAAGGGACATAACTTTTGAATAGTGTAGATTCAACTACAGTGTATATGGTAATGAAAATGAAAGGGGGTGGGGGTGGGGTGATGGCAATTTCAATCACACATCAATACATGCCCAAGGTCTCCAAGTATTTGTATATATTAGTATTGAATTTTTATCAATTTTTTGTTTTGTTTTTGTTTTTGTTTTTTTTTTTTTGAAAACTGAAAAAACTTGCATTCTGCTTCTATAGAGCCTTTTTATATCAGAAAAAAAAATCTGTATATTACGTAATTGTGCATAATGTTAATGTCTTTGTTAACAGTGACATATGGCTGATATACAATGTAGGTCAAATCGGCTGGCCTGGTGTTTAAATTTTCATTATGATATTTTAATACATTCTACTACTGTAACAGTAACATGTATAATAAATCACTTACTTATAACTTTACCTACTTGTATATGGTGTCCCCATAAGTCACATACAAATTATGTAATTCATAAAAAGAACAATTACATGTATAAGAGAAAATAAATGTACAGTGTACTTAAATTCCTCTTATTTTTTCAGTGTCAAAGACTGATACAGTATTATCCTGGAAATATACAGATAATTTTTTTTAATTTCATTTTCATATATGACTATAACAAATTATATTTCCCTGTGTACTGCAAATTACTTGTGCACATGTAAAGTATTCAGCTAAACAATTAACATTATAACTTTGTATTTGAATCACATTACTTTGACACTGATATGGTATTATCCTAGCATAAAATATGATATAAATTATTCCTTGTATTGGTTATCATATTTATTAGGCTGTTGCATTATTTTTCTAACATTTACACAGCATAGACATTACATATAATTAAAACAGACCAATTATAATAATCTTATTTCAAATGAGGTTAACATGTCTGTATTATAATACTGTAATCTACTTGGTCCACATGGACTACAAATGAACAATTTTCACTTTTCAGGGAATAAAACACAAATAAATGGGACTTCATCTTTGTGATGTAACTGATGCCATAAAATTAATCCAAAGTGCACAAAACTAATTCAAATGCTCAAATCATAGAAATTGGGTATCAAAATTGATGATTAAAGAAAACCCATGATGCACCTTAATCACACTGCAGACAGCAAATGAATTTTTAAAATTAACATTTAGAATTTAACACTTTGAAACTTGGACCATTTAAACAATGCTAAAATATATCTATATACCTTCTACAGCACTGGATGCAAATGATGATTCTGCACTTTCCATTATATCTAAAATACAATGTATGCACAGCATTGCTATGATGTTTCTACTCAACTGTCAGTGTCATCATTCAAGATAAACAAAATCAAGGATTAAATTATTCTTTTTAAGTCTGTTTGCCATCGCTATCATACTACACTTTGATTTTTGTATTGTTTAAATTCTAATATTTTTAAGCAAATGTTCTGATGGAATAAATCAAATATGGCAAAACTCATAATGTAAAATATGTTTAATTATTGCAATTTTTGCAAATAAATTAATCATTGCAATTTATGAATATTATAACCATAATTTCTCATGGAAGAGTTGGCAAAACATTCTCCAAAAAGGAAAGAAATGAGACTGTTATTTAGATAAAATGCCCCCCCCCCCCCATTGATTCTCAAGTTGAGCAGTTAGCCTAGGTCAGTCGTTCAAGATGGCCTTTCATTAGGATTTTAACAGTTTAATTTTAGGAACAGATTACCTATCAATACAAAGGAAAAGTGGATTGGTACTTCAATGTTGCCTTGTAAGTCAGAGATAAAATCATGATGGTGGATTAAGTGAAGTGCTTCTGCAAGGGCAGGTCTTTTCTTAACCATAATAATCTCGTCATCCTCCAAAATTTCAGACAAGCATGCAAAACACACAAGTTCTTCTCTGTGAGGAACTTTGTAGCTCCAGGTGTTTCCGTGGAACTTGTGATTCTCTGTCTGGTTCATCGATCTTCTTGTTTAAAAACAGTATGCTAATACAAGTGTCTGTACGGATGAAGATTTGTCGTTTGGTATAATATGTGTCTAAAACTCACTAGCACTAATGATACTGTATGCACCTCTAACATTGAAGAGTTCTTGAACGGCTGTTGCCCTTGTCTTGTACTAATATATTTCCAAAAAAAAAAAACCAGTGGCCATATCAAGGGACCCACATTTTTTCTTCGCTTTCCTGGCAGAAAACTTTCTGCCCATCATGCATCATTTCAAAATTACGAATACCACTAAAATTAAGGTATTTTATAAGGGGCGGATCCCGGAGTGGGGCGAAAGCAGGGGGTATAGTTAGAATAGTCTACTGTGTCTTGGGACAGGCCCTCACCACTATTAAACCGGGTCTGTAAAACATTTATCATTTTAACGATAGAACATTCTATCTAGAGGGGGTTTAGCTGGCCCGCCATGAAGCCCTCAAGTGGTCCAAGGGGCGCCCCCAAAGTTCTTGAATTTTAGAGATTTTGATAGTAAAATCACAATGTATCCATATGATTATCATGGTTATATCGGCATTGTCGTAGACGGGGGGTTGGGGGGTTGGGGTTGCATCCTCGCAATGTCAGGGGTCCTGTGTCAAGTCGTTGTCGTGGGACCCCTGACAAATTTCATTTTTTTCCCTATAGGGCTTGCTTCTCTCATTGAAAAGCACCAAATAAATGAGATAGACAGACAATGTTCACAGATAGGAATCAGTTGACACCTCAAATGCACGCGTTACACGTTGTTTATGACCGAAATTTGTCGAGGAATCTGAAAAATAATCAAGATTTGTAATTTGTAATCAAGGCGTCGCTGCATAAAGCCATTCAGCCGGTAAGATATGGGATGAAGTCAATCAGGGATCCCTCGGCAACGAGTTGATACCAGAATCCCTGCAGACGTTGTGAGGAGAGGGGCCTCCTCACATTTTATCTAAAACAACCAAGTTATACAATATTTCTCATCAGAAGATTTCTGTATGCCCGTCAACTCTAATTGCTCGTCAATGTGTTGCGATTCGAATCCCTCTTCTTTTATTTCTTGTATTTAAGGCCCCTGTAAGATACAATTTTTGACAAAGACAAAGACAGCTATCAATTAGGAAATAAAATAAAATCGCATAAAATAAAATACATTACAGAGTAAGTTGCTGAGCTTTTCAAATGTTACATTAAGGTCATCTTTAAAAGAGTGTTTGTTTGCCCTCTCCCGACTCAGAGTAAAAAAAAAATGGGTCTGTAGGTAGATGGGAATTTTTTTAAAAGAAAATTTCAACATTCACTGCCCAAAGAAAGGTCTTGTCACAAGGAATACACCTGCGAAAGATGAAGCCCTAGCACCAACCATTCAAAGGCTATGACCATTTTTTCAAAATGGGTCGAACTCCAAGGACAAGGTCAAAATTAATGATTTTTTTAAACACTGATGCCCCCGTATTGCAGCCTATGGCGAAGGTTAAAGTTTCTCAAATGCAAGTCAAACTCCAGTTCAAAAGATAAAAAATGTTGGTACCCAAAGAAAGGTCTTGTCTCGAGGAATATATCTGTGAAATATGAAAGCCCTAACACCAGCCATTGATAAGTTATGGTGAAGGTTTGTTTTTCAAAAGTAAGTAAAACATCGAGGTCAAGGTCAAATGGTGCCCAAGGGAAGGTCTTGTCACAAGTGATACACATGTATGTGAAATATGAAAGCCCTAAAACCAAATGTTCAAATGTTATGACCAAGGTTAAATTTTTTTAAAGTAGGTCAAACATCAAGGTCAATGGGCCAAAATTGTTGGTATCCAAAGGAAGGTCTTGTCACAAGGAATGCACTTGTGAAGTATGAAAGCCTTAGCACCAATTGTTCAAAAGTTACGGCCAAGGTTAAAGTTTTTCAAAAGTAGGCTAAACTCCAAGGTCTAGGTCAAAGGGTAAAAACTAGGGATGTCAAAATATTTATTTTCCTTAGTCGATCATTCGATTGCATTATTCGAACGATAGTCGAATATTCGGAACATTTTCCGAAAATAAAATTTTATTTCATACTTCATTGGTAAATACTCAGAAACCTTTTTACTTAAATCTATTTAAAAAGTAACATCGAAATTAATGCAACGTAACGCGTGGATAGCATGATTCTATGAAATAAATCTAGAAACCTAATTCTCCAAAAATTATTATTTTCTCGTAAATAGAATTCATAAATCGGCCTGTACATGCAGTCATTTTTTATTTAGTGAGCATTAAAAAATTGCCAGCCGATATTTTTTAAAGCTTATTATTAAATAAAATGGAAGGGGGGGGGGGCTAACAAAATGTCTTCAAACAGTTAACTTAAAATAACAAAAGATAATTGGTACATGGTATAAGATCAAGTCCAATTAATAATTTTACAAACAAAGCCCATTATATTGGTTGGTAATTTATTACAACACAACAAAGACAGTTACTGACAATTAATTCTCGCAGTAGTGAAGCACTTATAATTGCTGTACTTTCTATACGTACATGGAAAATCTACCGTTTTTGTTGAGGAAAATTATCGACTGTCTTTGAGAAAAAACTGTTTCTCATTTTTTTGATGAGAATTCCATCTCATCTATCACTCATTTATTTAGTTGAAATAATATTCGAATGTCGTTTCATTATTCGATCGTCGGTCCATTCGACTTCGACTGATAGTCGAATAGTCGACTATTCGTTGACATCCCTAGTAAAAACTGTTGGTATATAAAGGAATGTCTTGTCACAAGGAATACACATGTGAAGTATGAGAACCCTAGCACCAACTGTTCAAAAGTTATGGCAAAGGTTAACATTTTTCATTAGTAGGTCAAACTTCAAGGTCAAGGAAAAAAGGACGTGAAGGTCAATGGGCCAAAGTTGTTGGTATCCAAAGGAAGGTCTTGTCACAAGCAATGCACAATGTGAAGTATTAAAGCCTTAGCACCAATTGTTCAAAGGTTACGGCCACGGTTAAAGTTTTTCAAAAGTAGGTCAAACTCCAAGGTCAATTGTCAAAGTTGTTGGTATCCATAAGAAGGTCTTGTCACAAGGAATACACATGTGAAGTATGAAAGCCCTAGGACCAACTGTACAAAAGTTATGGCCAAGGTTAACGTTTTTTCATAAGTAGGTCAAGCTTCAAGGTCAAGAAAAAAAAGGACAAAATTGTTGGTCTCCGAAGGAAAGTCTTGTCACAAGGAATATACAAGTGAAATATGAAAATCATAGCTTCAACCAAACAAAAGTTATGGGCAAGGTTTAAGTTTTTGAGGACAAACAGACAGACAGACAGAGAAACGGACAGGGTAAAAACTATATGCCCCCAAATCTTCGATTACGGGGACATAAATATTGAATTTTCTGTTTATTGCATTGTCTTTGATTTTCCCTTTGCCTCTGTTTAGTCATAGAGTCATAAACCCTGTAGGGCTGGGACGATATATCGAGATATAGATAAAATCGATTCTGTGTGAGGACGATACGCATATCGATACGTATGAGGAAATATCGAAATATCGCAAAAAAATTCTATCAGTAGTGACTTAATATTTTTCTTTGTTCACTTAACTCTTTGGGTTTAATGTATAAAATAAATATGCTAAAAATATAAATATGAAATACATAATTATAATAAACACCACTTGTGTAAAATAATTTTGTTTTACAACGGATATACAACTTCTTTGAATAAATTATTCCTATTTGTGAAGAAACGTTTTGTTCATTTCAATACAAAAAGATTTTTTATAACCAATTAAACATATCTTGATACATATCGTATCGTGGCTCAAATATCGTAATACGCATCGATATAGAAAATTTGTATCGTCCCAGCCCTAGTCATAGGCTGTGAAGTCCTACTAGTACTAGTAGTTGAGCGGTTGAGACGTCATAGCTTAGCGATTGTGAGATTAAAAGCATTGTAAACATGATTTCAACAACATATTTGGAGAAACTTCGGCAGATTTTTCTTCTGTTAGGATGGTTGATCTATTATTCTTTCTATCTTACAACAGACCTCGGAGTATTTTTTACAGCACTCTTCGTGAAAGGAACGAAAATCTCGAGTTTTGTCCTACTTCTGATATTCTTTCACACTGTGACAAAGTATCACTTTGATATTCATTCACACTGTGACAAAATACATGTAACACATTTATTCAACAAAAAATTACAATATTTCACTGTTGAAAATTTAACAATCTATAAGAAAATATATTTCATTTTCCACTACATTCAAATTACATTTTTCACATAGTTTTGTCCCCCGCTTTCGCGAAAGCGAAGGGACATTAAATCTCATTCGTCTGTCAGTCAGTCTGTCTGTCAGTCAGTCCGTTTGTCACTCTGTCACAAAAACTTTAACCTTAGTCATAACCTTTAAATGAGAACAGATAAGGCTTTCATATTTCACATGTACATTACCTGTGACAAGACCTTTCCAAATATACTATGATTTTTTACCCCGTGACCTAGACCTTGAAGTTTGACCTACTTTTCAAAAAATTATCTTTCTTATAACTTTTTACTGAGAAAAGATAGGGCTTTAATATTATATATGTACATTACCTGTGTCAAGGCCTTCCAAATAATTAATGATTTTTGACCCCGTGACCTTGACCTTGAAGTTTGATCTACTTTTCAGAAATTTTATCTTTGCTTATAACTTTTGATTGAGAAAAGATAGGGCTTTCATATTAAATATGTGCATTACTTGTGACAAAATGTTTCCGAGCATATTTTAATTTTTTACCCTTGACCTTGACCTTCATGTCTGACATAATTTTCAAAAAAAATAACTTTGGTGATTACTTTTGAATGACGTGATAGGGCGTTCATATTTGACAAGTGCATTACCTGTGTCAAAATGTTGAATGTGCTATGATATTTGATCCTGCGACCTTGACCTTCAAGTTTGACCTAATTTTCAAAAATGTTAACATTGCTGATAACTTTTGATTTAGAGAAGATATGGCATTTACATTTGACAAA